TATGATGCCTTGCGGTGGGAGGCCTTCTTCGTTGTTCTGGTTACGGCCGTGTACGGTGTAATGTCTTTGCAAAAGATCTCTGGAAAGATTGTCAGCGTTTCGTTCAATACGGAGATTATGACCAAACAAGAAGAGGAGGGAGCGCACGCAGGGTGGGACTTACCGTCGAGCAAAGCTCATATGACATGTAAAGCACTTGAAAGGCTTGACATTGGTGTCTGTTTGGCATTGATGGTCAGCGGAGATGCTACGGAACGATCGGATTGAACTCGACATTGCGAAAATCCACCCTCATGGACAGAGCAAGAGTTGGCTTACGAGTTAGGATATGTCGTTCGAGATGTTCGTCCCTGGTGAACGACTGTCCACAATATGTGCAGAAGACCATTTTGAATCACGGATTGGACGTGTAGTCCTGGAGAGAGCCTGGCTGTAGATGTTGTTCAACACGATAGTGGTTGACCGAGATGTAGTAAGAAGGGTGCGGGGACGGCGTGCTGTACCAAACTTCAGAATGAGAACAATGCCATAGACTGCAAGGCGGGGATGTCAAGGCAAAAGAGTGGTTGGCAAGGTTCAGTCAAGGAGGATCAGAATCGTGGAGTAATAGGTCCGAAGTCCGGTAGTCCTGGAAGGTCTCTAAAACGGGGCGGACATGGAGGCCAGTCTGGAGCTAGGTGGAAATAGCAGACGTCAAGTCGATGGCAAGACGTTTTCGTTGGGACGTCAGACGGAAGCCGTGATTAAGACGGCTGTGGAGCTGACTGCAGAGGAAACCGACTAGCAGTGGTCTGAGAGAGACAAGGTCAAGATCAGGCCCGGTTGTACAGCTGTTTTGGAGCAGGCTGAGCAGGCTCGAGCGGGCGGAAAGAGATGTATAAAGATAGAAGATTATCACGGGAGGGGAGTTGACGTGGGGAAAGGTATTTCTCGAGGCTCGAGTACGTATAGAGGTAGGCAATGTAAGAGCGGGTTTGACTAGCGGCTTTTCCCAACAGGGAGTGTTGATTATGCATCTGAGCGACGATGAATTCATCAATTGGGGAGGGATCCAGCTGCACGAGAGGATGAGCTAGTGCCTCGCAGTTACATGCAGCGCGCCAGGCTCTTGGGTGGGTCGAGCCTGACCCGGTTAGCCCAAGATTTGTTTGAGCGACCAGGGGCATCTGCACGGCGTTGATAACAAGACTCAGCAGTAACAGGGGTACATCTTGGAGATCTGCACCGCGGACTAGATTGATGGAGGGGAGGCCCAGCGTGGTGGAGGTTCGTGCTGAGAGTGACGGGGACGAGCGCCGAGCCCGCGTCAGCCACAAGTCCGCGAACCGAGTGCTGGCCGCATGGCTCCCTGGGAAAAAAGACAGCGAGACACCCGTACACCCGTAATGTATTCTGTAATACGACAATATTACTGCCACGATCGGCACCCGCCCACACGTCGAATCAGCACCAGCGGGGCCCTTGGATCTGCTGTAAGATACACCAATGTCTCTATATAGACGCTTCCGAGCAACCCACTAACGTTTCTGGCAGCGGTGAGCCCGCCTCAGCCCTCGTTCGCGAGCGATACGAAGCCTCTCGCGTCTTCATACTCGCGCGGGTACTGATGGGCACCGCACACGAGATAACACATAGGCATGTCAGCATCACGCGGCTGAGTTGTGGTTGACAGGTGCCGACTCGGATCATGAGCAGCTCTCTGCTCGTATCAGAGCCTCAATACAGTTTGCTGTCTCCATCCGCGGCCACTAATAAAGTCAACGACTGAAATCTTGTGTACCTCGCCCGAGGCCATTGTCGTTCAATTGTATCGATTTCTGGCCAAGGTTCGCGCTTCGCAAGGCCATTGCAACAGTGGCTCTGCGCCAACCGAATACCCCACTTCAATTTGACGCTCACACGGTTCGCTCAGACACTCTTACTCTGTCCCCATACTTCGGTGGGTCGTCAACTGTTTCGAACGGTGAGCCGAGTGCGTCACTGGCGTTGGCGTGGCTAACATTATCGCGCGCGCCATGGCAGGTTCGAGTAGCGTCCTGCTTTGCTCGTCCTACGGTCGCACGTGATCTCGGAACACAAAAAGTGGTTCTATTACAGCTTCATCCTTAGTCAACGCAGGGCGCTTTCGCGATGGCAAGGCGGTGCGTTTGACACGTCTGAATGCAGTGTTCCGCCTCTAGTCACAAGCTGCTTCCTCACCGTCAAAGTCTGTTCTGTTCAACAGTGAATTGCTTTATTTGGCGATCAGTTGCGGTCTACTTTGACAGCTTTCGATTCTGCTTTTTCCTCTGGTCGCGACTGTAACCAAAGTTCCATGAGCGGTCACAGTACCGCACGAATCAGTTGCTGGCCCCGGCTCTACCCAGGCATTCGCGGCATGCCGCTGAGGCTAATGTCGCGAATGCACCACCCAGTCAGGGTGTAATCTTCACGCCTTTTACCTCATTTTTTCATGATGCAAACGATATGGGAAGTACTCCGCAACGCCCAAGCACGCCATGTATGTAGACGTGCGCTGGCCTCGCGACAGAGGCTACCTGAGCATTGCAATCAAATGGCAAGGATCTACACGTCAGTCCAATACCTCCAATCGAGAGGCGGCAGGTGTCGCTTCACCAAGCAACGTACCAAATGCGGGAACCCCACGCCAGCCCTAAGGCTGATCTCGACAGATACAGGGTGCTCGAGCCAAATGATCGGCCGAACAAGGTTTAAGCCTACTATTCGCTTCCGCTTCTGTTCCGGGTTCTGCGCCACACAGCATGGACGCGTTCGCGAAGACACGAAAAATAATAGCTACGGGGAAAGTTCCTGCTACGAGTCAAAATGCCAGACCAGTATGGAGAACAATCGCTAAAAATGTCATGCTCGAAATTGAGGCACCCGGTGACTGAAACAGTTTCGACTTTTATATAGCCTTCGCTGTCGCGTCGTGAGTCGCCCAACCCCACCGATGTTTTGAGCACGGCCGTTGGCAATTCGAAACTATTGTTTCGTGTCGGCCGTTGCCTCACGATCGCGCACGCGAGCGAAAAGCCCATGTAGCCATTTCACAGACAGCAAATCTCTTCTTGACCCCTTATCTCACTCCCCCAGAGTATCAGAAGTCTGATCGTCGCGGCCCGTGACGCGTAAAGTCTAATTAATTCCAATCAAGAACACGAGGCTTCTTTTGGAGCGGAATGGTGTGTAGAAGCAGAAGCGAGCCTGTTTCTCAGGACGCGACGTGCCGTCCATGGACTCCCTCTCCAAGGCTGTATTGTGCCAAATTACGTGCAGCCCCAAGCACGTGAGACTGCTCGTGCGAAATCTTACTGCCATTCCACTCTATGAGCTCGCTGCTCATCGCATCACCACGAAGTGACGTAGGGTGAATGGTTAAGTTCTCTCTGGTGGCTTGATGGCTTGGGGTGCCTCTTCGTATCATGACGGTACGTGGAGAGTCAGCCAACACCAGTACCGAGAGCAACCAACGCTCCGGCAGCAAGCTCACTTCTCGGTTACCAGACCCTGACGCAATTGCAGCATCCCAAAATTTCATAGAGAATGCTATTTTAAACCCGTCTCAGTACCGAGTATGCATGTTGCGAGCCAGACTGTCTCAAGCAGAGGTGGGATGATCTACACTCGAGAGATCCATGGGTAGCATCCGGTAGTGTGCGATAAGGACCATAAGGCTATGGGTTAGGCCGACGTTAGACGCCTATCTCGAAAGCACCACTATGAGGCACAGCAGCCAGTGTTAGACTTTGCGATTGAGTTTCGTACTGTGTACGATGTAGATATCCGAACGAACAACTTATGAACGTCACGAAATCTCCGTGAACTCCTATTGGACGGAGATGCAAGGCGGGAGCGGAGACCTGGTGGGCTGTCTGCCGAGAGATCCCGCTGTGGAGAGATTGTATGCCTGTCAGACACGGAGACACAATGCTACAACGTGGATAGGCAAGAATTCCAAAATACCGGTTCCCCGTTCGGCACATGTCGCTGACTGCTGCCAGTCTAAGCACAGCTCCATCATTTACCGTTTGGGATTTTCCACGATAAGAGCAACACGACCATCACGGTAGTTTCACACGAAGAAGATGACAGCATTTCCAGCAAACCATTCGCAGTGATCATCGATGACGATCATGCAGGGCTTATGTATAAAAATATTGGTGGCTCAGCACTTGTGGCCAATCAGCATAGGCATTTTCAGCGTTTGCGCTAGCAGGCTACAAACTCCCCTCATTCCAAGATTCTGGGGATCTACATCATCGGCCGTCTCAAACGGCAAGCCGTGATGAAGTGTCGCCAAAAACTACCAGGAAATGCACCGAAACTTCTCTCAAGGTATGTGAAGTAGCCTAGAGGTTTAGCCTGCGGGCAGAAGACACCCTCGGTCAGATTCCTTCCTCTGGAGACCCAACAGGCCCCCGGAGATCACACCACTTGCTGCGCATCTGTCAGCTTAATGGAACGATACTTTGGATGTATGCAACGCGACACCGAAACCGATTTTGGTAGGTTCGCTCCTCCGACCATGTCCTGTCTGGCAGGGAGTTCCTAGATGATTACTTGCAGCTCGAGGAGCTCCGTGGGTCGCCGGAGTACCGCACCGTTGTTCGGCATTATTTCCACCTAAACAACCTTGCAGACTGTGCGGAAGCCCTATCGAATCTATTAGCACGATTGACTACGCCTACGTAGGTAAAAGTCTCGCAGTTGTATTACTTCCGCGAGTTCGCGCTACCATTTGCATGCACATCTAGGTGTAATATGTTCCTTCGTTATCGGCCCCTAAGCATCACTTCATCTCACTAGTCTCCACATTTTGTCCAATCGCACTGCAAGGCGATACATGGTGGCCATCAGCCTCTGGCTGAGCTTACGGCTCAGAATTGAAGTTTCAGACTGTGAGCATGGCTCAGCTTCTCACTTTGCACAACCAAAACTTCGCCAGGCAGCTCCCGCTGCTAGGCGCTAGCTAATACCATTGACAGCGGATGCTTAAGTCACTTGTGGCGCTCAAGGCATATTCTAGGCTTCTTCCAGTGCATTGATGTATGAGCGATGATGATATGATCGATGTTTACTTCTGCAAGTTAGAATCACAACATGGACACTCGACGATTCTCATCTAGCGCACGCGCACCATTTGCAGTCGCACTTCCGGTGTTCTCGAGGCTACCTTGGTCGATTGTAATGTCCGAAATATGGTTTCTATTGGTAATCGGATCAAATTCGTACGCGCATGTTTCTATTCTGACGAAATGCAACATTTTTGACTCCATTTTCCTTGGCTCGACCAGTTGCACTGCGTACACTCACATTTGACAGATCATACAGCATTCAATGATATTCAGACTAGTCTTCATCGCACGGGCCTAAGATAAGATGAGTGCTGTCATAGTCCTCACACGAAAACCACTGGAGCGTAGCCTCAATCGTCACCCCACGGGCTTACCTAGGTATGCCAGATCGACTTCATACCTTATCTCAGACGTCGCTTCTTCTATAGTTCACAATTCTTGCGGCAATATGCAGATACTATCTTGAGTGCTGGTTAGCAGGCTATTAAGGTGCGTTAACCCGTTTATACAAATGTGGTTGTCCGGTTTGCTGTATGTTTCTATCGGCAGGGGCTGCACCCACGTAGCGGAAGCGAAAGCCTCGTATCACGCTTTTATCCTCATAAGCGGCTCCCAGAAGGCGGACCGAGAGGGCCTCGCCGGGTCGGTTTTTGTTCTTGGTGGTCGCGCAATCTAAGCTGTACATTTCATTTCATGATTTGTTGTTCAGCTTACTTTGCCAACCACGGCTCTAGCATGTATATTGCTTGACTTGCATCCCCCTTCGTGATGCATGTATCCCGGATTATGCGCGCAAGACAACTGGGCTCATGGGTAGTCGTAGTCTTGCAAGTAACCTGCGAGTCAAGTCCGCAATGCAAATGCGCCTTTTGCATAATCGTACTGAATCATGGCTGCAAACAGCATTACCGATTCGTTCATATCCTTGTTCCATTTGTCATGTGTAAAATCAAGCCGTCACTATAGTAACATGGTGAGCAGAACATTGACCCGCAAGAGGCCGAGATTTGTACGCGAAGCACAGCGATAGTATCGTCCATTGCCCGTAAAATCTAGAATTCCGGACGATCCTGCCGACATTTGACAAAACCCTCTCCATGTTGTTCCCACATCAAATGGATAAAAGTTCCGCGCACTCAAGCCTAGAATACCGGAGTAGTATCTTCATCGCTCGTATACCTAGATGCTGGAAAATAACAAGATTGCTGGATCGGTATACCAACTTAGTGAAGTCAGAGCAGTCCCTGTATCCTATTCATGTGTGTCTAGGCATTGGTAACATCGATGCTTCCGAAGTCAGACGAAACGACAATCGGCTGACAGACGGCTTTCTGCTTGTGCAAGCATAACCGTGATCTCGGAGCTGTGTCACAAGCTAGATTATGCACCACGAAATCGGGTGCGTTGTCTTAACGTGGCTCAATGTTCACGCGCGTGGCTTTCGCGGTGCACAGGGTAACACGAACTGCTCACGGGTCTCAAGTACTCAAGATACACGAGGCTTGTCGAAGGTTGGAGGTGTCATGATGCACCAGACGGACGCAATATCGTGGTACCAGATCGCCTTAGTACGATCTTTGGGTGGTGTTACATGCGACGTCGCAACCTAAGAAGGGTATGACAATGTTCAAGAACACATGAGGAAAACATTTATCAAAGCAGGAAAGCACAGCGCCATGAATGAAGCGATCTCTTACTATCCTTAGGTATGAAAATTCCTGTAGTGAGATGTTTCTTGCATTACCACAACCTACAGCCGGACGAGAATGTTATTTTCGTTGATTTTCGTGACATGTATTCCTCTGTTGAACATACAAGAGCAAACAGGTAATGATCACTCTTGGAAGTCGTGATTGAGGCCAAGTCTGATAGCATGAGATATTCTGTTAATGTAAGACGGATTTCTGCCCTTGTGCATATGTTAGACCCAAAGATATGCTCTTGATAATATTTGTTGCCTGTCTGATGCTCTAAGTGTTCGAGCTGGTATCAACCCAAGACTGTGATCGAAAGGATAAATTTGGCCATTATCCTGAGTGAACGAGAAGAGACAGAGTGACTATTACGGGAGTAAGGATGTTGGTGTGCTAAAAGTTGCTGGAATTATGAAGTTCAATTTGCCAAACACATGCGCTTTGAACTATCTGGACGCTTTGCAGACATTAAATGCTCATGATACAAGTTCGGCATGATTTTACTACAGGTCCGAGTGGTAAGCTTATGCAGAATACCGTCAGTCTTTCCGTGTCACAGCAATTGCCGCTGAAGACTCTGTATTGAACCGGTTTGATGGTTTGTGTTGTCATTGAAGACGTTTTTGCGGGTACTGACAGCCTCGTATTCGGGCACATGGCATAGCAATTCTAGCTGGGTTGTAACACTACCACCTTAACACTAACCACTATGTCCCATGTATTTTATCCATATGGTAATACCGAGGTGTTGCTACAGCTAATAATGATTCGTTGAAGTCACAAGTACCTAAGTATCTTTGCATATCCACTGGCCTCTTTTCGGGGAATACCTACCTTAGTCTGTGGTGGATCGTAATGCAAGGCGTCATAGGTGGACGAATGTTCTTATCATGGTATTTTAATTCCCGCTGAAGGAATCCAGAATTCGAGTCTGAGACCTTACGCTCCCTATAAGACCGCCACGCTATGTTGTCCGAAAATTCTCTCCAAGGTGCGGCCCACGCTAATGTAGACATGAACCCATTTGATAAGCATATGATTAGGTATCTATTTATCCCGCACAGCGATGTAATGTTATCAGGGCATTGACGGCTTCCATGACCAATTCCTGGCAAATTGTAGAGCACCATTTCAGTCTAAACAAGTCCTAGCGAAATCATTGCAACTTTCAACTCTGATCATGCTTACATTGCTGTCTCCAATATATCATTCTAATTCGGCGATGTCCATTAAACACCCAGATTACTATTCCCACGCAAAACCCTATCTACAGTACCCAGGTACTTCCTGGAGCTGTAAGCTAAGGAGCTTTCGACGTTCTGCGACCTAGCTGGAAACAAGCACACAGTCCAGAAATTCTTGAGGCTCAAACATTCCAATGAATCATTAGGCGAGGATGTCCACATATGCAGCTTCGATGTCACCTTTGGGGCGATGGTTCGGCACGAACGCGCGCTAGGCCTCATCGTCTTTTGCCGCCACGCTATCGTTTCAAGATCCAACCAAGATCAAGTGGATCCATAGGCGATCGCTTTAGCCACTGCCACTTCTACATATGGGGTAAAGGGGCTGGTAAGCGTGCTGCAGCTCAATCCCAAGGTCGTTTTGTGGGGTGTTCGCTGATCGCGGATGAAAGTTCCGCAGCCTGGGACGTAACGTTACGGAAGATCAGATCTTCAAGGCTTGGTTCCAAAACTTGTCAACGTTGCTGCTGCTATTCACGGTTAGGTACATGCAATGCACCGTTGTAGGCGAGTTTCTAGCTCCAGGCCGCTATAGCCTGGAGGTGCAGGTGTAAACAGCGTGTAGGTGACATGCAAAATGCCCGCATCATCGATCTTGCCGTCGCCTTCGGCCCGCACTTGTCATCTCTACGGCCCGTTAGAGGTAGGACCAAACGGCTGGTTGCCTCGATTGGAGGAATTATCGTAAGGAGATGGTGGGAGAGAGCTAAACATTCGAAGATACCCAAGAGCGTAGTGTGAACCGGCGGAGGCAAACATGTGAGCTCTAGCCACGGCGTCGCAAGCTCCCAGACAAAGTAGAATAGGCTGCAATTGTACAGGTGACTCAATATACACGTCACCTGAATGAATAGGTAGAGTGTAAGGGCAAGTCGAGCTTGGCGGGTTTACCTCCTAAAGGAAGGTGACCCAAGATGGTGCTATTAGACGTCCAAGCCATGATGATTTGTTTTGCGAGCTCATATATCTCCCCTTTCCGAAGTATCATACTGATCCGCGCTCTTTATTTCCCGTGTGCATCAATAATGGTTCGGGATTTGTTGAGCTTGACATAATGCCAGAAAGAGCCCTGCACATTTGCCGTTACGCTAATACAACGTTCCGGACAGTTCCACCGACATGTGATCATAGATATCCGAACTAGTCGCAATGAGCGGAAATACCATTGCACGAGTTTATTGAGTGAGCGAAAAGAACGTAGACGTCGTCAGAACTCGTCTTGATCCACACCTCTGAATGAAACTAGTCAAGCAAGCGCCAAGCTGAAGAGTGAAGGCGGCTGATGCGAGAGTTAAGCCAGATGCTGAAATCACTATGCACAATCAACGGAGCATCCTGCGGCTGTTGTATGCGTAATGCATACCGAAGTTAACGCGGCAGGGCATTCATCAGTCGAAATTAGGTTTACTGTGGAGAATGACATATAAGATCGAGATGAGTCCCTCTCTCAACATCGTACCGCTACATGTATGCAGACAAGAATCTGGTCGAAGTGGGGCCGACGCTATAGCTGCAGCAAGCGTCGTGCATCTTTCGAGTGTACTAATGCCTGGAGCCAGCTGGCTGGTAGTTTGAAGACTCACGGGCGTCGACACATGCTCGCGCGCCAAGTGTTGAGAGATCTGTTGGCCAAGTGAAAAGCCGTGCTAACAACCACTGGCGGTTGTTCATTCACTGGACATTGGAACGGCATCAAACTGACGTGTGCGTTAGCTAGGTATACTAGATATCTGAATTCTACATAGGTGTCAAACCATGGTAGGTGGACCTGCATACGTTTCCTCATGCCCCTATCTCATGTTTGTTGGTTTGCAATACGCAGGTATCTTCCGTTCCTGGCTGCCGCTATCAATCGAAAAGGAAAGCCAATGAACAAAAGTGTTGGACATGAGGGAGGGACGCGCTCAAAAGGGAAAAAGCCTTTTGTGTAAAAGAAAAATTGACCTGAGCGTCTGCCGCCACCCGAGATACTAGTCTGCGACATAGTGTCAAACGAAATGGTTGTGCCTTTTTTGGCAGTCTTGAAAATAGAGAATGAAACGTGAGTCGAGACGAACCATTTCAGGGCTTCCACGACGCGTGCAGGGCGTTTAAACTTTTCGCTGCGCTTACTACGCGATTCGCGACGAGACCACCCCACTTGCTGTCGATTGTTTCGTAGAGTAGCAAAACACGATCCACACAGGGAGCTTCTATTCTCAGTCTCAAACATGAAGTCTCTCATGGCGGTATGGATTTGGCTGCTGTCAATGACAAGACGTGGTAGACAGTTAGCCAGGTGTGGCTGGGTAGTTAGCGACACGTGTGCTGGGCGGTGACCAGAGGCAGAAACGTGTTGTCGATCGTTGACAGATTTGCTTATTCGGTTCTCCGCTCTCCGTAATGAACGTCACCTCGTAACCACCAACACGCTCATCGTTAGCACGCTCGATGAACACTTCCGCTTGATTCCATTCGCGCCACGAATCCCATCCAAGATGTGTACATGGTGTTTGTTCGATGCTACAAGGACCGTCAGGCCTTACGCGATGCTCCTACGACGTCCGTCCGAGCTTGTAGTCCGTTCGTTTCGACCGCGACTCGATGCCAGGAGTTGCGCGGAAACAAGCGAGGACCGCCCGGATCTACCGTAGGAAGTGCTCAAAGATACCCTAGTAACGTTTAGACTGTATACTCTTATACGCTCGGAGTACCGCCTGTGGCGTCGGTAATGGGGACGCCGGATTATCAGCAAGCTGACTGTAGGACACGCAGGGAGATGATCCTTCAGCCCTTAGCGATGGAATTCCGTATTTGGCAGCGACTCGAAGATACAACGAGCAGTTCGTCAACGGCGCTCTTGTTGTGGCTTGCGGCTTGGGCGCTTGGGCCCTACCATGGTCAAACATCGATCTTTTGCCCAAAGAATGGTTTTTCTCTGTGTCTATTCGAAGAGTAACCTAAAACGGCCGACCCGATGAGTTGGCGCTCTGACGATCATTGAGAGATTATGCGACTCCCAGATTCCGAGACGTAGGCTATGCCTCGTGCTAGCCCTAACCAGCAAGCACCTTCACCTAATTACCAGTCCGAGCGGGGTCTCCAGAAGCTTGATTGACGCCTGCAACGCTGTGGCACCACTTCATTTGGTACTTGGCCGAGGAAACGCTGACTGAGGCTCGGCAGCTCTTGTAATCCGTAGCCGTATCCTGTTGACTCCTGGCTTATCAACCCCATGTCTAGACCCAGAACACCGCTTAGGATACTGCGGTACGACATGTCGTTGACCCGAAGAACACACTAGCCACGAGGTCATGGCTCGCATATACCACGAGAAACCTAGTCGAGTTCCAGGCCCAGCAATTGCTTGGTGCCTGTAGTAACAAGCGTGGCATCGACAGGGTTTACTGCGAACAGCTTCGATATAACCATTTGGCCATCATCATTTCATCCTGACTGCATAGATCTAAGCCTGAATTCGCTTGGAAGATGCTGTAATTGATAGCAAAACACACGGACGCCATGTCTATCGACCCCGGCTTATGGGAGGGGATCCGACACACTAAACCCGAATTTGAGACAGCGCCCTTACCATCCAGGTCCCCACGTCTCATGTTTGCTATCATCCGTAACGCATTGGCTCGATACCTCAGCCGCTTGTCTCCACGCCTAGCATGCGCCATCTATCAATAGGCATAGGAGCATTCGGCGACATAGCCGGCACCTGCACGCCATTAATCCTCGGAATCATGGCTGGACTATCCAGGACAGGAAGTGGTCCGGGATCCACTCTCGCTCTCACGTCAATATGTTTCTGCAGTACTTCGTTCCGCAATACATGGGTTGTCACAGATCCGGCATCCACTGTGCTTGTCATCGCGCGATCCACGCCCTGACCACCATCTTGATATCTTACGCCTATCTTTGCCTCCTAGTCACATACATATAGGAGCAGCTCGAAACCCAAGAGTCTTCCCATCTCATCCATCCTACTCCAGTTTCTTGGGCCACTACTCAGCCGCCAAGTATCATACTCCCATACTGGATCAATCATTCTTTCCCCATCAACTACCCTTGCCTTGCTTCATTCTCGAAGCCCATCTATCTAACCGTCACATCCATCCTCAGTGAGGATCCTTTGCCCTAGACGGCAACAACTTTCTACAACCTTTCCAACTTTTTATTAATTCTTTTATACCCTTGCCATCATGAACGTCCTCATTTTCGGAGATCAAACCGCCGACCAGTACCCGCTCCTGCGGAAGGCTTGCACCTGGAAGAACAACTCGACGCTGACTACTTTCCTCGACAGAGTCAGCCAAGTTGTTCGTGAAGAAGTGCAGAAGCTGCCACGAACCCAGAGAGATCAAATTCCCAACTTTCTGACCACATGGGACCTTGTCGAAGCATACTATGCTAAGGGGCTGAAGATCCCTCAGCTTGAGAGCTGTATGGTCACTATCGCGCAGTTGGCGCATTTCATCGGATACTATGCCGAGAACCCATCAGACTTGCAAAACCCAGCAAACACCCGTGTTGTTGGTCTTTGCACTGGTCTCCTTGCTGGATCAGTCGTCGCATCCGCGAGATCGCTGAGCGAGCTTCTTCCTCTTGCCACTGAGGCTGTCCGCATTGCTTTCCGCACTGGTACTGTTGTCGGAGCCGCAAAGGAGGCAGTGGAGCAAGCCTCTGCACCAAAAGAGACATGGTCTACCATCGTGACCAACATGACCGAGAAGGCCGCCAAGGACGCTATCACTGCATTCCATGAAGAGCAGCAAATACCGACCCTGGCTCAAGCCTACATTAGCGCCGTTAGCACCATGGCCCTAACCATCAGTGGTCCTCCAGCCACCACCAAGCGCCTACTTCAGGGTGACGCTTTCAAGGGCTGCGCACGTGTAGCAATCCCTGTGTACGCTCCTTACCATGCTGCGCACTTCTACGGTTCTGCCGACATCGACCAAATCCTCGACAAGGACGCCATCAGGCACCTGCAGCAGTTCCGCCCCCTATCGCTCGTCCATTCTGCTACAACCGGAAAGTGCCACACTGCTACTAGCACATTGGACCTCATCCGCTCCGCTCTTACTGAGATTCTTGTCGAGCCGGTCCGTTGGGACAACTTGCTCACAGAAGTTGTCTCTCAGGTTACTGCCACAGCCAGCCAAGATTGCTCGGTATCCGCGATTGGCGTTACCACTATCACCAACAGCCTTGTCTCAGCGCTCAGAAATGGTGGACAGTCATCCGTCACGGCTCGCGACCACACCACCTGGGTTGCCGCCGAACATGACAGCCGCGGTCGTACTCAGAATGACAAGATTGCCATCGTCGGTATGTCTGGTCGATTCCCTGGTGCGGCTAATCCTGATGCGCTTTGGGACCTCCTTGAGAAGGGTTTGGATGTTCACCGTGAGGTGCCTTCCGACCGTTTCGACGCACAGGCTCATTGCGACCCCACCGGCAAGGGCAAGAACAAGAGTCACACACCATTCGGCTGCTTCATTGATGAGCCTGGTCTATTCGACCCCCGCTTCTTCAACATGTCCCCGCGTGAAGCCGCTCAGACTGACCCCATGGGCCGTCTCGCTCTTACTACTGCGTACGAAGCCTTGGAGATGTCCGGATATGTACCTAACCGTACTCCTTCGACCAAGCTTGAGCGCATTGGCACCTTTTACGGACAAACGTCTGACGATTGGCGTGAGATCAACGCTGCCGAAAACATTGACACCTACTTCATCACAGGTGGTGTGCGTGCCTTTGCACCGGGCCGTATCAACTACTACTTCAAGTTCTCCGGCCCATCTTACAGCATTGACACTGCTTGCTCGTCATCTCTCGCTGCTATTCAGCTAGCCTGCACTTCTCTTTGGGCTGGCGACTGCGACACTGCCTGCGCCGGTGGTTTGAACGTTCTCACCAACCCTGACATTTTCTCCGGCCTCAGCAAGGGTCAGTTCTTGTCTAAGACTGGTAGCTGCAAAACCTACGACAACGATGCGGACGGTTACTGCCGTGGTGATGGTTGTGGCTCAGTCGTCCTCAAGCGCTATGAGGACGCCATTGCGGACAAGGACAACATCCTTGGCTGCATTCTCGGTGCCGCGACCAACCACAGTGCCGAGGCTGTCTCTATTACCCACCCCCACGCCGGAGCGCAGGAATACCTGTACAACAAGGTCCTCTCCAACGCTGGTGTTGACGCACACGACATCAGCTATGTTGAGATGCACGGAACCGGTACCCAAGCTGGTGACGGTATTGAAATGACTTCTGTCACGAATGCTTTTGCACCTCGCCACCGCCAGCGTCGCCCTGAACAAACTCTTCATCTGGGTGCCATCAAAGCCAACATCGGTCACGGAGAAGCTGCCTCTGGTATCAACTCTCTGGTCAAGGTGTTGATGATGATGAAGAAAAACGCCATCCCCGCCAATGTTGGTATCAAGGGTGTCATGAACAAGACCTTCCCCAAGGATCTCGGTCAACGAAATGTCCACATCTCAACGACACAGGTCCCATGGCCGCGCAACGGTGCTGAGAAGCGCAAGATCTTCTTGAACAACTTCTCTGCCGCCGGTGGTAACACCGCGGTCATCCTTGAGGATGGTCCTCTCCCTGAAGCGCCCAAGGGTGTTGACCCGCGCACTATGCACATGGTGACAGTGAGCGCTCGTTCTATCTCGTCCCTCAAGAAGAACATCAACAACTTGATGCAATTCATCGACGAGACTCCAGGAGTGACGCTACCCAGCCTGGCCTACACTACTACAGCTCGCCGCATCCAGCACAACTACCGGGTGGCATTTTGTGTATCCGACATCAACAAGGTCAAGGACGGTCTTCAGGCCCAGATCAAGGACACTTACAGTCCCCTTCCTATGGTTCCTACTAAGACTGCGTTTACCTTCACCGGTCAAGGTTCGCAGTACACTGGCCTTGGCCAGAAGCTATACGAAGACCTTGAGACCTTCAGGATTGACATCGATCAGCTTGATAAGCTTGCGCGCCTGCATGGTCTCCCGTCCATCCTGCCTATCTTGACAGGTGCAGATGTCGCAACGCTCTCGCCTGTTGTCGTCCAGCTTGGCATGGCCTGCATTCAAGTTGCTCTTGCTCGCATGTGGGCATCATGGGGCGTTAAGCCTGTGGCTGTCATTGGTCACAGTCTAGGCGAATATGCCGCCCTCCACGTAGCTGGTGTCATCTCTGCCAGCGACATGGTTCTCTTGGTCGGACGTCGTGCTCAGATCTTAGAGCAAGAGTGCACCGCCAACACACACGGCATGCTCGCCGTCAAGGGTAGCGTTGCTGCCATCACCGCTGCCCTCGGTGACAAGATGACTGAGATCGCCTGCATCAACGGCCCAGAAGAGACTGTCCTTTGTGGCACTGTCGAGGTTGTCGAGTCCACCAACGCGGATCTCGCATCCAAGGGCTTCAAGGCTACCAAGTTGAATGTGCCATTCGCCTTCCACTCTGCTCAAGTCGAGCCTATCCTTGAGAAGTTCAAGGCTGCGGCTGCCTCGGTAACCTTCAATGCACCTGTTGTTCCGGTGATGTCGCCTCTGACTGGTGAAATCATCCGGGAGGCTGGTATCGTCGGCCCCGACTACCTTGCTCGTCACGCACGGGAGACGGTCAACTTCTGCACTGCCCTTACCACTGGTCAGGACAACAAGCTCTTCGATGCGAAGACTGCTTGGCTTGAGGTTGGCGCCCATCCTGTCTGCAGCGGTATGGTCAAGTCTTCTCTTGGTGGATCTCCCGTCGCCGCAGGGTCTCTCCGCCGCAACGAAGACCCATGGAAGACTCTTTCCAACAGCATCACCACCCTCTACCTTGCTGGTGTCTACTTTGACTTCAACGAGTACCACAGGGTCTTCAACGATGCTCATGAGATGTACACTCTTCCCACGTACGCTTTCGACTCCAAGAAGTACTGGTTGGACTACCACAACAACTGGACCCTCACCAAGGGCGAGGTTCTCGAGGCTCCCACCTCTGTCAAGACTATCGAGGCCGCGCCCGCCGTTGAGGCAGCTTCTAAGTTGTCCACTACATCTTGCCACAAGATCGTCCGCGAGAACCTCCAGGCCAACTCTGGTACTGTTGTCGTCCAGTCGGATCTCTCCGATCCCAAGTTGAAGGCCACCATCACCGGCCACCAGGTCAATGGCACTCCTCTCACGCCATCGTCACTGTACGCTGACCAGGCCATGACCGTTGCGGACTACCTCTACCAGCAGCTACGTCCTGGTATGGCTACTCCCGGTCTCAATGTCTGCTCCATGGAGGTGACCAAGACTCTCATTCCTCAGTATCCTCCTCCAGCCAGCGGTCAGCATTTGCAGATCGAGGGTAACGCGGACCTGGAGACTGATGAAGTCAAGATCACATTCCGCACTGTCTCTGCCGATGGCTCCAATGTTCTCGCTGAGCACGCTGTTGGTATCGTCAAGTACGAGGACATCAATGCCTGGAAGGAAGAGTGGGGTCGCATCCAGTACATGGTGCAGGCTCAAATCAACAGCCTCGAGCAGAAGCTTCAGACCGGTGCTGCCCACAAGGTTCTCCGTGGAATGGCTTACAAGCTTTTCAAGGCTTTGGTGACCTACGCTGACAACTACCGTGGTATGGAGGAAGTCATTCTGGATGGTAAGGAGACTGAGGCTACCGCTCAGGTCCAGTTCCAGACAACAGCTGCCGATGGTGAGTTCTTGTGCTCACCTTACTGGATCGATTCTCTTGCCCATCTCTCCGGATTCATCGTCAACGCTTCTGATCACCTGGACTCCGAGAACTCGGTCTACATTTCTCACGGATGGGGATCGATCAAGATTGCTGGAAAGCTTTCGCCCGAGAAGAAGTACCGCTCCTACGTTCGCATGCAGCCCGCTCCCGGCAACATCTCCGTTGGTGATGTTTACATCATGGACGGCGCTGAGATCATGGGTATGGTCATGGGCCTCAAATTCCAGAACATCCCTCGCCGCGCTCTCAACATCATGATGCCTCCTTCTGGCAAGGCTGTTGCTGCCCCTGCTGGCAAGGCTCCTGCTAAGGCCGCCCCCAAGGCGCTGCCGTCGGCTGCACCTGTCAAGACCAAGGTCGCCGCCACCAAGGCAGTCAAGCCAGTCGCGAAAGTTGCTAAGGTCGCGAAGCCTGTCAAGGCAGCTGCTCCTGCCGGCGTCACTTCCAAGGTCATGAAGATCGTTGCTGAGGAGATTGACGTTGACATGTCTGAGCTTGTCGATGAGGCCGCTTTCGAGAACCTTGGTGTCGATTCACTCTTGTCTCTCACCATCTCGGCTAGATTCCGTGAGGACCTCGACATGGATATTCCTTCCACCCTCTTTACCGATTGCACTACCGTAGGAGAGTTGAAGAAGCACTTCTCGCAGTTTGATGGGGCTGTGGTCGTTGAGGATGACTCTTCAGAATCTTCCGACGATTCGTCTCCCTTCGAAGAGGTCGCTGACGAGAACGACGATACCCCTGCTAGCTCCACTGGCAGCGATGATGAGGATGAAGAGGTCAAGCCCTCTGCTGCTCCCACCGAGGGTGGTGCCAGTCTCGCACGTAAGCTTGTCGCCGAAGAGATGGGCGTTGATGTTTCTGAGATCACCGACGACCTCGACCTTACTGACATTGGCATGGACTCCTTGATGAGTCTTACCATTCTTGGTTCCATGCGTGAGGCTACTGGTCGTGATCTGCCTGCTGATTTTCTCACCGTCAATGTCACCATCAAGGACATCGAGACTGCTCTCGATATGCGCCCTAAGCCGCAGCAGCAGGCGAAAGCAGCGAAGCCCGCTGCTAAGGTTTCGGCCCAGCCTCCTCAACTCTCTGAGGTAAACAAGAAGCTCGCATCCCTTCCCGACGTCTCTCACCTCCCGCCCGCCACTTCCGTACTCCTCCAGGGTAACCCTAAGACCGCCACTAAGAAGTTCTTCCTGGTTCCCGATGGTTCTGGCAGTGCGACCAGCTACATCTCTATCCCCAACATCTCCACTGACATGGCCGTGTACGGACTCAACTGCCCGTTCATGAAGTGCCCTGAGAAGTGGAATTGTGGTGTCGAGGGTGTTTCCCGCCTCTACCTTTCGGAGATCAAGCGCCGCCAGCCCCAGGGCCCTTACCTAGTCGGTGGATGGTCTGCTGGTGGTGTCATGGCTTATGAGGTCGCCCAGCAACTGGTCAACTCTGGTGAGAAGGTTGAGAACCTCGTCCTGATCGATGCTCCCTGCCCCGTCGCTCTTGACCCTCTACCTGCCCGCCTCCATATCTTCTTCGACCAGATAGGTCTTCTCGGTACCGGTAAGCCCGGTGGCACTCCATCCTGGCTCCTTCCTCACTTCGCGTCCGCAATCCAGAACCTCAAGGACTATGACCCGAAGCCAATGGACCCCAAGATCGCACCACCTGTCCTTGCCATCTGGTGCACAGATGGTGTCTGCCCTAACCCTGAGGACCCCCGTCCCCCACCAGGTGAGGGAGAGGATCCCGCTCCCATGAAGTGGTTGCTCAACAACCGTACCGATTTCTCGGACAATGGTTGGGCCCAGCTCCTTCCCAAGGAGAACTTCCAGTACGCTGTTATGGGCGGAAACCACTTCACGATGATGAAGGGCGAGCACGTACGTCACTCCACGATCATTACCATCATTTCATGATACTAACATTGTCTTAGGGTGCCACACTCGGCAAGCTCATTCAGCAAGGTCTCAAGCTATAAGCTTCGACCCCTCTTCATCCATAGACTTGTCACACATTGCAAATTGCATACATCTCCTTTGTTCAAGTGTTGAATAACGAGATGTTGGCGTTGGGCTCTCGCTTATTGGTCTTCGGCATACATATACTCTGGCGCTAGCGAAGGTGTCATGATCTGTTGGCGTTGGGATACTACCTTCTTGTGGCTCCATTTGTCTTTCGCGCACTCGTTGCACCTTTTTCTCATGTTCACGCACGTTATGATTCATACTGTACTTAATGCTTGTTTTACCCACAATGGCAAGGGTTTGTTCACAACAACTAGTTCCCATCGCATCGTGACTTGGTGTGTCTCATTCCACTACCCTCCAGTTCTACCTCACTTGATTGGCACTACGACCATCTCAGTCCTGTTCCAGCTAATGACCGAGGTAGCCATCCCGCTTCCGTTTCTTCCCATGTCTTTCCAGTGCCACATCCATACTACCAGCGACTGAAACTGAAAATTGCGCAATCTGTTACTGTCTCGTTTCCGGCTCCACAGTCCGACAACCATAAGTGTTGGTATTTGGGTTTGTTGGGATACTTTAAAGACAACCCCCACGCCATCGTATAGGTAATCAACATGTCATAATCCAGAGCACTTGCTTGCATGATGGTGCCGCTGGCGTAAATCCCCCGTGCGTGATCGTGAACCAGATACCATAGCCTCACAGCTTCTCGCACTCATTGCACATCCGTGTAAGCGGGAACGAGGTTCCATGTTCTGCCGCGCCTTTGACATCTCCCTTTACTGGCAATGGAATGCTGTAGCCCATTTACCCAGACGCTCATATCCCGACCCTCTAGCTGCAGGTACAACGAACCATTCAACTCACGGATAAATGCCTGCATGTTCGACCCCCAAGTTGCACGTCTCGATACGATACCCGTTATCCCGTCGCCCACGGAACTGTTCATGCAAGCTAGATTAAGCTTTGTCTGGCACGATCTAAATGGTCCCGGTCCGCGGTGAAGGATTTCTTTTCATGCGCTATGCAGCTGCGGTCCGACGGGAAAGCCGTTGGACGGTCGCAAACATGTCCTTCCGTCTTCGGAAGATCAGCCATCGTATATCTGGCGTTGCTATAGTGCCATTGCGCATGTTGGTTACTATATGAACAAATTTGGGACCGACGTACGGACAGCCTGCTTAGCCAGTAGGCATTCATGGTCTACGGGAGTATATTGGAGGTCTGGTACGCGGCGCCCTGCATTAATTACGATGTGCATTAATTATGATGTAACTCGACTTCGCAAAAGATACTGAGCCTGATGGTGCCGTGGTTGTAGTTCAGTGTTGCATTGAAACGGGAAAGTCTGGACGTTGGCAAACCGTCGTTCTATACTCTGGAAAGCACTATAGAATCCAAGTATCGCAAGTCTTGGCTCAAGGATCCAGCTAATAGTTCTACTGCTGTGTAGCTCCGCGGTACAATATGGATGCCCGGGTACATGCGTGCTTCATAGAAGGTGGCCAACGCAACACTCTCCAGGGGTATGGCACGTGCACCTGCTCTCGCTCCAAGCTCCGCTGTGGCAGTATGCCTGGCATTCCAGCTCTTGCAACATCCTCACGCATCTGCAACACCCTTCAGCCTGGTAGCAGCCAAGATATGTTCATGCATCCTTCTCGATCTACTGGACCCTCCTTCCGATTTCTGGGTCCAAAAAAGGCCAAGCACTTACTCAGCTGTGTCTGCTCACGTGACTGGGACTTCCTTATCGTACCTAGCAATGTTAATGTATGCAGTCATACTTCCTGATCTCAGGTGTCGGATGGCATCCACGGTGCATTTCCGGAAACATGGTATCTGGAGCGAAGTTGCCGGGCGCCTGCAATACTGACACATCCGAAGAAAGCCCAGCCAAGACCCTGGCATGGCTCAAAGTCGCTGTCGTGACGGGGCAAACTTCAACTACGGGTCGCCTTACACACTACCCACACGGGGCTGCCTGAGCCTTGTCACTGACTCAAGCTTCATGTGAAAATATGGCTGTCGCATCACTCCCGCGTTCCTCAGCTAGCAAGCGAGCGCCCGCCACGTCATGCCATCGTTGCGACGTGCAGGGCGCCTTGCTCACCTTTAGCTACTCAGCCATCTCACTGCATGTGCTATTTCCACCGGTACCAATACAGTGATGAGAGCTTGCATGTCAAGGAGTGCCGAGAGAAGGATTGCGCCGATCAGCACCAATCCGATTGCAGGAGTCCCAAGAACCGGTCTGACAGCTACGTCGCTGTATATGCCGTGGGCTGAAGCATGACGATCGCCACGACGATCAGTATCGAATTCCTTCTTTGATGCAGAGCAGCTTTCCAGAAACGGACGATCAAAACATGTAAGTCGATCTATGTTCACTTCTGGGATGTGACCCTGATGCATGAAGCATAAGTGCAATCCTCTGTCTTAACTAGACGAGCTAGATCTGATGTTGCGAAGCCCAAAGGTTCCTAGGTTGTGGACCGCGTTTTGGGTCGATCCTCGTATGATCCGATGTCTTCTGTTCGTGTTTCAAGTCAAAATGTGAGCAATTAAGGATCTGCAGGTCCTCGTTGAACGAATGGAACCAGCTCGGAGACAGACGATTTGGATCCTCCGAGTACGAGTGCGAAGTTCAATACGCTGGCTGGGAAGCTTGGTCGGCGAAGATTCTCAAAGATGATATGCTCGGAGAATAGTGAGGAGGCCCGAACGTGCATCCTGCAAAGCCGCAAGCAGCTATGCCTGAAGTGCACTCAACAGTGGCGGCTGCAACCGCTGATCGCAGCCTTGAGCGTAATACGGCTCATATTTTCTTTACGATGATTAAGTTTGTGGCTTGTATCGATACAGTAGGCTGATGGTCCGTCATGGAGTTGGCGGTCCGGGGAATGATTGGTTCGGTTCTTACCTGGCTGAGCAGTTCACAGGCGTTGACGCCTGCATCTTACCTTATGTTAGCCTTGCAGTAGTTTTCAATAGTTCCTCGATGGGGAGACCAGGGCTGTAGATTGCCGTCTCCATAGGGCGGAAAGCATGGCCGCCGCCCGTTGCACTAGACTTTTTGCTGTCCGCATATGCGATATAGGCAGGGTTTTCCAGTGTTTGAAGTACGTACTGCATAGATCCAGCCACAGACGTGGCAGTTACCTCGATCTTGGGTGTACTAGGGGCGATCGAGCTGCCGTGTTGGATGGATAACGACCTCATCATCGTGTCGGTTAGTTAGCGGGTTGGGAGGCCCGTGTTATCCCATCGAGTCCCAGGACGACGGAATCTTTTTGTATGCAATCTTGATGCTCATGCTATCAAGGTACTTCCCGCGTAGCTTTTCGTAGTGTACCAGGTATACAGCAGGGTCATGGCATGCAAGATGCTGGATGGTGAGATCATATATTTTTAGCCAGATCGGTTGGTATCTCGGCCAAAGACGGGTACGGCAGCCATTCCTGTTGGTCTCTGTGCATAAGCTAGCTAGCTAGATCGGGCGGCACGGCGGAAGACAGTGAATGGCGGGGTGGAGCGGAAAGGGTTTGGAGTCTCGAGAGGCGGAGGACGTGGGAGGATGAAGCTCTTCCGCCAAGAACGGACATTGCGGGGCATTTTCTCCGAGACGCGAAACCTCGAATGAACGCGAATAACGCGAACGACGTCGAAATATACAACTCCAAATACAATGGCTGATGTAGCCAAAGGCGCGAGGTAAGTAATGTGTCAGTCCTGGCGAATAGATCTGACATTGGAACAGCGGTCCCGAGAGTACATCCCCCAATACCACCAGAGTCCAGGCATTTCTCTAACATACCCCCAGCGAACCCTCGCGGTATTCCCGTTGCGCCCTTTATAGATCGGGTGCGAAGTCCATTGGTCATCTTGGAGGATTGTGTCTAACATGGACAGGTTGAGGACTATGTCACAGACCGCGCAGATGTCGAGAAGACCATCAACAACTTCAAGGAGATGATCTCGTATGTCTCACCCAACTGGTCACACCCATAAGAACAGCAACGCCTAACGTGCCTTCCCAGGAAGTACCAGTTCATGCAGCAAAACACTCAACGGCGAGCTGCGGGCCTCAAGGACAAGATCCCTGATATCCAAAAGACGTTAGAGACTGTGCGGTTCCTCAAGTCACGGAAAGACGATGCGGAGCCCCTCGAAACTACCTTCGAACTAAACGACACACTCTACGCCAAAGCTGAAGTGCCTCCCACCGACGAAGTCTACCTCTGGCTCGGCGCCAATGTTATGCTCGCATACCCCATACCCGAAGCCGAAGAACTGCTGCAATCGAAGCTGTCGACCGCGAAACAAAGTTTGAGTACATGCGAAGAGGATTTGGACTTCCTACGTGAGCAGATTACGGTATGCATACTCCATGCAGTAGGCTGGGGTGTAAAACTGACAGGGCCATAGACACTCGAAGTCGCATTCGCACGGGTTTACAACTGGGACGTCGCACAGCGGAGAAAGGAAAGGGAAGGAGAGGAAAAGAAGTGAATGTGTTTGAATGAAAAAGAGTCAGAACAACTCTCGCCTGTCGGCAGGGAAAGACAGCTTACGTAGCTGATCAGAACGCAAGGCAAGATACAAAAACCAAAACCACATGATGATGATGACGATAATGAAAACGCTGAAGAAAGCTGAAATGGCTCCAAAAGATTCCGCAATCATCAAGCAAGCGATATGGTACCTCTGGGTTGTGACTCCTGCTCAAGATCCACATGCATTGTATACGACAGTGAAGAGCCTGCTACCAAGACGGCGCAGTACTTGTCAAGTCTTCACGAACAAAACGACACTGGAGTGGAGAAAAAGAGACCTGGGCTACAAACGTGAGAGGTAGATACCGCCCGACATAAAGAACTTTCACGACAGATAAACCAGGGCGGTGCGTAAAGACGAGGTATAGTTCTCACCAATCAATTTTATATACAGCTAACAAACGTACTCAAGAGTGCGGAAGGCAGAGCATCAAGCCCTGCCTAACGATCCTATTAACAGCCACTTTTCCTCCTATGCATATGAAATGCATACGACCTATCCCTATGCACATTACCATCCATTCATTCAACCTGGCTTAGACGACAATCTTGGCACCAGCCTCGGCAGTCTCAGTACCGTTGTTAATAGGTGCCATGTCTTTGCCAGTCTGCTCCTTGACGTACTCGCTCATCATCTTAGTAATGGCGACTTGACCACCCCATGTGACCATGTTAGCCATGGTGTCGATCTCCTTCATAGTCATAATGACAGCTCCTTGAGGCGCCTTGTCGAGGCCATACTTGTCCTTGCCTGAGTCCTTGTTCTCCTGGCGGCGCTCGGGTTTGGCGGTCTCGGTGCTGTTAGCGGCAGAACCTTCCATGGTAGGTCTCTTTTCACCCTCGGCCGCTGGCTTCTCGCCTTCGGCCGCTGCACTGGCGCTCGATGCAGGTGCTTCACCAGTGGGTGTCAAGCTAGATTGGGCGGCGGGCTCAGCAGCAGTGGGTGTTTGACCCTCACCAGCGGCTGGTTGAGCAGGTTGAGCAGGCTGTGCAGGCTGAGCGGCTTGTGCGGGTTGTGCACCGCCCATGACTTGCATAGTGAGGATGTACTCTCCATCAATCTGGCGGACAGGAACAGCAATGCGCATGTTGGTCTGGTCAAGAACGGCGTTAGCTTGAATGGGGGTAAAGGTAGGTGCAAGAAGGAGCTGAGTCGCCACGGGGTTGTTTCCATTGGTAGGTGTGCCTTGCTGCTGGCCCTGCTGGATCTGGCGTCTGAATTCTCCACGGCTAAGACCACGACGTTGGGTAGCGGCTCCACCAAGGTTTCCTGTTGCGCCTCCAGGGTTCTGGAGAACACCACGCTGAGCGACGGCAATAGCGACTTGGCCGGTGGGGGACACACCCATGGCTTGCATCATCTTCTGGATACGGATAGCATTGACTAGACGTTTGTCAGCTATCTATATGACTGAGACATGGGTAGACTTACTGGGCATCTGGACAACAGTGACTTGCTGGTTTAGATCAGGGGTGACAGCAGCCAGGTTGGAGACAACTGAGTAACGGTAGTCGTTGACTGGGGCCTGGCCCTGGAGAGCAGCCAACATGCTCGAGTCGACGCCATCCTTAACGTCGACGTTCATAGTCATGGGCTGAGTAGCGCGAGTCGACATCCTGAAACCATCCTGGAACTCGTTCTCTTGTAGACCAGTACCTTGAATAGCGACGGATGTGCTGCCGTCACTACCGAAAGGAGTGACCAGAGTGTTGGTCTCAACGGTCTGACGACCAACAACCATGTACTCGCCGTCCATCTGAGTGCGCTTGACCATGCGGACCGTCATATCAGTAGTGTTGACACTCCTCATAGTCTCCTGAATCATCCAGGATTGACGGTCAGGCGACAGCATAGCAACGTATGTGTTGTCGGGTTGAACAGCAACTGCCTGCAAGTTCTGCATCGTCATGGCCATCTCGATTTGGCCACCAACGAGATCTGTAGCGCCGTTCGTGCTGATAGTCATCGATTGCGGCGAGACAGCGACGAAGGGTTGACCAGTAGTTCCCGTGACTTGGTTCGCGGGGATGGCGGGTGTTTGTTGATTAACAATTATCTGCTGTTGCTTCTGGGAGAATGTCTCAACCTTTGAGCGGTCAGGAAATTGGAAAGAGTTGAGTTTCATCTACGTTTGTCAGTTCAAAGTCGATGAGAGGATCTGCCGGAGATAGTTTACTTACATCGCCATTGACATTAAGGACTTGGTTAAAAGACACCTGCTGTGTGTTTGCGTTTTGAGCCAACACCTGTGTACAGCTCAAAAGCAGGAGAACAAGCGAGGAGACAGTACCGGACGTCATATCTGTAATAATAAAAGCCACCTGGGCTTTGAAGAAATATTAAATAAGAAGATAGAAAAGAAAAATTAATAAGAGAAGAGCGAGAGAACGGTGGAGCAACTGACCAGACTTGCTGCGGCAGAGAGGTACTCGAACAACAAATCGTGGCACAGTGGCTTAATATGAAGACTCTGTGTCTCCGTACCATTACTTCGGTTTCTAGCCCGGCGAGCCATGATCCGGTCAATGGGGTTTCGAGTCGTGCTCCAGGACTTGATGGCGAGATGTCCCGGAGCGAAGAGTTCCATAGCAATCAGGCATACTCGACCCCTTCGGATTGGAAGGCCCACATAAAACATGCCGCGACTTGCTTGATTCGTTAGAACCAGTTGACGAGACCGTTGTCCTTACAGGTATGGTGTCGGCCAAGAAATTTCCTTGACTAACGGTGATGCTTCTTTGCGAATTCGGTTTCAAACGTCAGGCAGAACGTTTGGTTTGCCCATCTGGGACGGATTTGCCGGAAAGCTTAGCCCTAATGACCTACGAGACACATCGACGCATGGCGAGACTATTCTATCAATGGTCGGGTAGTCTGGGCTTTCTGAAGGTTTGTATTTATGGAACAGTGTGCCAAAACTATGGGATGCCTGGCTCACACAGAAAGCTTGTGTCGTCAAGAGGTCTCTTGTTTCTTGTCCTCTTGCGCTGCGCTGCGTGTAGCCATACAGGTAATTGCTTCCACGCTGTTCTCGGTTGGTCATTCGAGGCTGGCAGCAAAGGCTCATCTGTATGACAGCGAAAACTTCCTGAATATTTGCGTGCAAAGTCTATCGGTCGCGCATTACATGGTCAAACCACGATGTTTAGAGTGGTGTTTCGCGAATGCAGTTTGTCGCACGAACACGATCGCCTTCGGCTACTTCCATACACTAGTCCCGAAACGGGCAGAGCATAATCATTGGTCGACAACTTGGTTCTTGAGCGTTTGCAATGGGCTCAGTCAATCTGACAGGAGTTCGCAGATTGTAATTCTGCTCTCTTATTGCTACAATAATTACATTGGTGATCATTGATAGCCTCGCCCGCTGGGTGCTTTCACACTGCCACTCGAAAAAGTGGCCTTGTACTTGCTATCCATAGCCTTTGATCTTTGCTTGCTTCCTATCCCTGTACGATCTGTTCTGGGTTGTGCAGCCATGAAGCTGTCAAACTCATCGTCGTCGGCATCGCCTTCTGCAGGCTCGCTGTCATCCTCCTCGCCCGCCTTGGCATTTCCTGGCGCAGGTTCAGTTCGAGGTATACGTTCGGGTGTCTTCTTGTCATCCTCATCTTCTTCTTCCTCCGCATCTTTTGGCGTGGGGTTGGTGAAGGGCTTCGATGCCAGGACACGGCGCCTTAGCTCTGCCATCTCCTCCTCATCGTCTGAGGACTCTGGAATATTGTAAGGGTTTCGCGGGTCGATTTCGTCTTCTTCATCCTCATTACCCTCATCATTCTCATCATCATCGTCATCATCTGATTCATCGATGGCCCTTCGGTTCATGTTTCCGCCAGCCCAAACATCCTCTTCAGCGCCATCTTCTTTCTCTTCTCGGCTCGTGTTGTATTCGCGCTCAATCTTCTCCAGCCAGGCTTCCTCAGCCTTTTTGATTTGCTCTTCATTCTCGCATGCCATGTAACGCTTGAGCAGCGCAGCGTTGATGTCCAGGAACGCCTGGCCGTATGAGAACGTCGACAGAATTGATTCGGCCCATTCGGGATGCCCGGTGATATAGTAGCAAGCGGCAAGAGCTTCCACGCAGTTTAGCCGCCATGGTCGACCGTAGTTTGTTGGGTTCGCAGCAACGAGGTACGGAAGTAGACGTTCGCACTTGCCACCTATCCTGCCGAAAGGGACTTCGTCTATCCTCTTCCAGCTGGCTTCCACAACTGCAGCGCCATATTGTTCCATCAAGTCCTTGTCTTCGCGACTAAGTATCTTCTTTGCCTTCGGGCTAACCACGACACCTGCAAACTTCTGTCCAACGTGAAGCTCGCGCATCATGCCCAGGCGCATGAGCCTCTTTCCAGAACAGCGCTTGGCGTCGCAGTGTCCGAGGTCCCAGCATGCGGCTTTGAACTCTGGTTTCGCAGGCCTCGGATTGTCGCCATCGTTCTCATCTGCATCCGATGCGCGGCGGGGGCGGGGAGGACCGCGTGCTTTCGCGGGATTTTTGAACTTGTTGTTGCCCTTGAAGTCTTTCTTGTGGCGCACCATGTTGAATAATATGTCTGTATGTGAGAGAGAGGCGATTTGCTGGTCCTAAGTTGGGCGTGAGTCGCAGAGAGGGGCAAGATTGTGGAATAACAATTATTGAACATCGTAATCGATAAGACGCGCTAGTCTGATGACGTTGCGCTTGCTTCTATGAGCGAATGGCGATGGCGTCAAGGTCGCTTGGCTGAGTAACAAGCTTTTATAAGAGCAATTCATCTTTGGGGTACGGAAAATGCTTAATTCATGTTCTTTACGGGTCGACGACCGCGGTTTCCGTGTTGCGAATGCTATGAAACACCAAGGCTCGGAATTTCTCCCATCTCGTTCTTCTGCTGTCCACCAAGGGAATATGTAGCCTTCCACCTCATTTTGACATTATTCCCCGACCCTCTTTGCACGTTGTTCACGCGGATGTTCTGCGTAATTCCGAATTTCTGATGTGGTCCGAGGTTGACGCCAGACTGTGGCTCCAATTGCAGTTGGGCGCCCTGGTCATTGTTAACCAATGACTTCAACATCATCACATTGATTGCTTACCTTGGATGCAGCAACCTGCAGTGTCAGACTGGAGATTGGTAGCGGTGTGTTGTTCGATACCCGTGATTGGATCAGCAAGGTGGAGTCCGATTCTCTCGAGATGTTGAAAAGAACATTGATGCTCGTGTTGGTGACAGTTATCTCCTTGGAAGTATCTGGCACAGCTGAAGCAAAGTTCCACTCGTCGTCGTCATCAGCAGTAGCGCTGCTTTGTGTCAAATTGGTTGACGGCGCAGGCATGCCACCACCTAGTAGATCAACAGCACCGGATGCCACTGGTGGGGGCTTGACCGACTGCTGGTATTGGAAAGGTGAGCTTTGGCGTGGTGTGGATGTAAGAGCAGCGAAAGGATCCGGTGTGCGCGCTGGCTGTATTGGGGGCGGTGAAAAGGTAGACGGAGTGGGTGACGTGATTTGGGATTGTGTTGGCTTCGGTCCTGCTGAGAAGAGATCGGTGATGGCCTGGTTCGATGCCTTTTGTGATTGTGGCACTGCCATTCCGGACATGCCTAGGACTAAACAATGTCAGCTGATGAATGTTCATCGCAACAACAAGCAACGTACCTGAGCCATTCGAACCTCCCAAAGAAATGCTACCCTGCTGTCCGTAGGTATCTCCACTCAACGACAGTCCTAGAAGATCATCTTCAAGAGCATTGCCTGCGGCTGCCGGCTGTTGAGGTGCCTGTGACGATCCTGCTGTGTGAGACGCGGGCTCTGGGTCTCCAAAGTCGATCAAGTTCAACGTGTTGTTTGGACCCTGGGAAACGCCAGCACCACTGCGGCCAAGCGTGCCTTGGGGTATGTTATTTGCGGCTTCTATGTCACCTTTCTTGAAGAGCTTGTATCTCTCTATTGTTCGGTGTATGCTGTCGTTGATTTCGAACAACTTTGCTACGGCTTCGTGGTCTTCGGAATCTTCTTCGCACATTTTCTGGATCTTTGGTTGGGCGCTTTGGAGGGCATTCGCAAGTTCCTGTCGTCCAGTTAGCTAATGTCACCATATTGACACCTCATTTGACATGCCTCAAAGACATCGCCCTCTTTGATCTGATCGCCCGGTTTGTAGCCCTGCAGCATCTCCTCCAGTATCTTTGCCTTTTGCTGTATTCTTCCAACTTCTTCAGCGGCCTTTGCGCGCCAGTCGGTCTTGTTCCTGGTATCGTACCCAGCCATTACTTTCATGAGCTTGTTCGCTTCTTGCAGGTCCGCAGGCCCACCACGACGGATCAATTCCTGGAGTTTCGCAGATTGTGCCTCCCGTTCCTCTTCGGCCATTTCTTCTGCCGAGCGGAGATTCTGCGCTATGTTAGCAGTATACTTGATCCGCCAGGCCACCATGTACATACGTCGCTGGGGTTAAGGACCGCCGCATCTTCCTTGCGTACTTCAGGAAAGATGTAGCCCTTGTAACTCAGCAGCCTATGCATGTCTCTTATAAACCCTAGGTCGTCTTTGTACCGCGACGTCTGACATATGGTTTGTCGCCATTCTTCTATCAGCTCGAGAATCTTGTTTTGTACACGCGTCGAATGCACAGGCGGACGTTCGGGAAATCGACGGACAAGCTCATTGAGGAATTCCTTTGTGCTTATTTGGAGGTGGAAGGGGTAGCCGCAATTCTTGACACATATGTCCAGGAGCTATCCAAGGGTGAGCTATGCGAAGTACAAGGTGGGGCAATGTGGGCGTACATTGAGCGCGAGGAGGGCAACGTTCTGATTGCGGTGGTTGACGTAGTGCACGATGGTAACAGCTGCTTCTCGAGGCCTGGAACACTGTTAGCCTCGTGTGTATAGCGGGAGAATGGCATGACCCTACGCTGAGCCTTTCTTGCTATTGATCAAGTCGGAGATCTCGAGATTCAAGGCCAGGTTGGGCTCGAAGTTCTGCGGATCGCAAGCTTGCACTGTTCCATACTATATCAGTTTCGGTTCGTATCCGAGGAACGGCCTTGAGCATACATATGTAGCGCTGCAGTGGTGAACTGGGCGCCTCCCCGAATGCGCCGTACCGATCCCGGGCGGCCATGCGCGCAGACGCTGCCTCCATTGCGCCGCCAGAGAATTCGAGTATCGAGGCTGTAGATAGCGACAAGTAAGAGATTCTAAGGTTCGGAAGGGCGGACACGTGTTTGCCGAGGCTGGTTGTATGAATAACGTATGTTCTAAGAATTGGTGGGGATTGGACATCGCGGCAGCTATCCACCTGCTCGATGCCTTGGCGCCACAGTTGCTACGTAATGCGCCTCATTTCACATGTAACTTCGAAGCTCAACCTTTGTTTATTTATGCACATGCATGGTTCAAGGGTATTCACTCTGGGTAAAAATAGTTTCGTGATAATTACCTAGGTCGAGCTCTTTTGCTAAACCTGCTGCTAGTTATCTCAAACCACCAGAGTCTTCCATCAAATCCTCCAGAAATCCGCGATCAAGTACGTCGCGTATCCAGCAATGCCTGCAAGTACAGCCTGAGTGCCGTAGTAACCAACGATCCTTCCGGGAGCCGTAGATCCCTTGATCATCAAGCCAAGCTCTGCGTGACTGACACGGAGCGCAAGGAGAGTACCAAGCGCGTAATTGATGTAGGTCCTGATGTAGCAGCTTAGACGCGTTGTCTTGTCTCGACGCAGTGCACTTACCTGTTGGCTCCGTTGAGCTCAGCGAGGAGCGCCACTCCCAAGACCAATGGCACGTTCTCGGCAAAGTTGAGCTGCGCACGCGTGGCCACATATAGAGGATCTGTGACACCTTTCGAGTCATCCGACTTGTCACCCATGAAACTATCGTCAGCGTCAGCAGAACGCTATTGGCTAACTGATATGAGCTCCCTACGTCTTTGAGGTGATGCGGTGGTAAGCAATGCGGTTCTGGAGGAAAATGTAGTATGCCGCAAAGGGAAAAGCCCATGTAGCAGTCGCAGGAGCGAGAAGCGGCATTGGAACGCCGAGACCAACCTTGGTTGCCATGCTTGATTCAGGAACGGAAAGATAGTTGACCATCGAACCGAGGAAGTGGGGGAGAGGAGTTTATATAGTTGTGGGGACTTTCAAAGTGGATTTGGTGGAGAGAGGATAGGATTGTTTTCCAAAATACATGGATCCCGATTGTCGACGTCATCTAGGGGTCTAGCGCAGATATATGCAGCGGCCCGATCAACATTCTTTGGTGCGCCGTTGAACGGGGTAAACCTCAAGAACGTTCGGGACTATATCTTGCGCGTTCAAAATACATGTTTTTTTTTCTTTGACAAAGGTGGTGTCCTCCGAATGGTACGGTGTATAAAGTCCAAGTTCTGCAACTTCAATAAGCTGTTGTCTTTATGCATTGTTCCACTACACTAAGAGAAAAGAGTAGGGAACTCACTTGAGAGGATTGTGAAGTGCAAACACGTCTGTGGTTCTATGGAACAACTATGGCATGCCTCGTTGTTCATCGGTTCTGTATACAGTTAGTTTCAGTGGCATAGCATAGGGAAGACCATGCCTACAGGCTTCATGTGCTCAGCATCATTTTCTTTGTTGTCGTCTCGCACTTCCTTTAGCATCTTGTCGATGCCACGTTCATTCAAAGCCCTCTGTTTGCTGGGTCAGCCAGCTTCCAGGGCAGAGCCTTTAGAGCAAAGTGTCTGACCGAAAGACATTTCTCGTACTGCTCGAATATCGGCTTGCATTCGTCGGTCGTGGCAGTGCCTCGCAGAAACTCTAGATTGTGTCAGGAGTCATAATGCCCAGATTATGCACTATTGCTTACTCTCACTGTACCACTTGAGGAAGCAGTTGTCGTATCGTCTTGGATGTATCAGTTAGTTGTACCAGCAATACCAGATAACACTGGCGCTCACTCCTTGACTTGGTTGCATTCGGGGGCTAAAGAAGCCGACATGTTGGTGAAATGTTGGTTAAGTGACGGCCTGGATCAGCATGACGGAGGCGGCGGGTGAAGGTGCGCGGCTGCGGCTATCGATAGGGAAAGCGCGCTAACGTGGAAATCATTGAAGGTTTCTTTCTAAACATTTGCGACACGCGCTCCCTCTCCACCCCAACACGACCTACGACATCGAAGCGAGACGCCACCGTAGACCACGTCATCGAACGCTTTGTAAGAGGATGAGCGCACAATAGACACGCCATGGATTCCTTCAAAACGCTTCAGACAGAGATCTCGGCTGCCCTAAAGTCGACCACCAAGTCTGCCTCCCTAATAGGCGCAGCAGATATTTCCTTTCAACGGTCGCTCAATCCCGAAGCTGGCACACAGCTGGATGCTCAGAATGCGCGCCTCCTTCACCTTGCGCAGCGCCTTCTCGAGAATGCTGCTGCGAGCTCGGACGCTGTAGGTCCCAAGCTACCCGACGTCGAAGCCATAGACGCCAATTGGAGGGGGGTTGTTGATGTCATCGACAGCTTGCTTGAGAAGGCCGACACCAGTCTCGATGAGTACACGGGTGTTGTCAAGCGACTGAGTCCCGCGACCGAGCAGGTGAGAAATACACATACTGAAAGGGGGGCGCGTCATCTGATTCACTTGCAGACAACCGCGAAACCGCGCCCAAACATTGCCGACAAAAAGATCATCGCAAAGCCGCAGCTCAAATTTGAGCATTTGCCCGCCAACTACGAGTCTGGCGGCTTCCGCCCTTTGGTCACAGCCAAGCCGCATGCGAAGATACCGCTCGAGAAATGTTTGGAAACTTTCAAAGACAGACGCGGACGGGAACAGTATGACAGATATGCTATGTTAGCACCGCAAGCTTACCTTTCGCAGATACCCTCACCCGTACCAGACCGAGATCGAAACCTACGAATATCCTTCGACCGTATACGAGTACTCCGAGCCGCAGCGATACCCACCCTTCGAATCTACCACTGCAACTTTGGTCGATACCCCTGAAGAACTAGCTACTATGCTCTCAGAGCTGAAGACCGCAAAGGAAATCGCCATTGACCTGGAACACCACGACAACCGCTCGTACATCGGCATGGTTTCGCTAATGCAAATAAGTACGCGCGACAAGGACTGGATAGTCGACACACTGAAGCCCTGGCGGCGGAAGCTCGAGTGCCTGAACGAGGTGTTCGCCGATCCCAATATCTTGAAGGTTCTACACGGTGCATACATGGACATTGTCTGGCTTCAACGAGACCTTGGGCTTTATGTCGTTGGCCTCTTTGACACGTACCACGCTGCTCGAGCTCTTGGCTATCCTGGTGCGAGTTTGGCGTACTTGCTGGAGAGGCATGTTCAGTTCACAGCCCAGAAACAGTACCAACTGGCAGACTGGCGCACTAGGCCGCTCAGCAAGGAACTGTTCGAATACGCACGCGCCGACACCCATTTCCTCCTTTATGTATACGACAACATGCGGAACGAATTAGTTGAGAAGTCTGACTTCTCTAATCCAGAGAAAAACAAGGTTCAGGACGTACTGCAAAAATCGAAAGAGACGGCGCTACAGCGGTACGAACACCCCGTTTACGATATGGAGATGGGTCTTGGAGCAGCTGGCTGGTACAAACTCGTCTCGCGGACACCCGTGCAGTTTACCCCACAGCAGTTTTCGGTCTTCCGAGCTGTGCATAGGTGGAGAGACGACCTCAGTCGGAAAGAAGACGAAAGCCCGCTTTTTATCATGCCCAACCACGCCGTGTTCTCCGTAGCTCGTGCGATACCTGCGGATAAGGCTGCTCTCTTCAACGCTATCCAACACGTGTCGCACATCATTCGAGCCCATGCGGACGAGCTCGTAGCTGTTATCGCAAAGGCTAAGGAGGAGGGCGTTGGGGGACCGGAGTTGCATAGCGTGCTTCAGACGATTGCCGACATGCAAAGAGAGGAAAGGGCTGAGTCTTATGCTACTGCTGCGAAGGTAGCAGAGGCGACTGCAGCTCCAGCTGTTGAGGCCGCAGCACTTGAGAGTACCGTTGCTGTCCCAGCTACTCGCGCTTCGTCTTCTGAGTTCTGGGGACAACTGTGGAAAGCCAGCCAGCCGTTACAGCAGCGGGAAATTCCCACCATTGATATCGGTCTCGCTCTGCCATTACCACCTCTTACCGCAGAAATATTTGCTGATGCATACGGAATGACACAAGCTGCACTAAAGGCGGAGAAACCGCAGCACACTTTTGTACCGAAAGAGGAGAGACCTGCTGAAGACCAACGAACCGACACGTTTGTCGTCAGGCACCTCGGTAGTCGCAAGCGAAAGCGAGGAAACGCAGTAGAAGACGAACCCTCCACCACAACGCCAGCCCTCGACCCTATGACCAACGACGAAATCATGCTAGACGCATCCGAGGAAACACCAGACGCAGATCACGCACATGCCAAGGCCGCTAGGAAAGCCGCACGTAAGCAAAAGAAGAAGGATGACGCTGCTGCCCGCGCCGCTAGTCTTAACTACGGTGACGAGCCTGTATTCGACTACGCAAACGCCAAGTCGGTACTGCATGCAGAAAATGGCGATGGCAAGAAGAAGAAGAAGGACAAGAAGAAGAAGAGCGCAGCTTTCGCACCTTTCTCGGGTATGTCCGATGCACCGAAGGGACTACCGAGGGCGCAAAAGGAAGTCCCAGGACGAAGCAAGACGTTTACAAGATAGACGTGGCAGTTTCGAGGCAAGGGAGGAGAGGATTGCTTTGCGTTTTTGCGTTCTTGTACATATACCTGCATCATGATACCAACCTAATTCTCGAGGTGTCAAAACAATTCAAGCAGAACTGCTCTAATGGGCTTACTGCTACTTGGTCGCCGTTCCTGTGCCTCTACTCTGAACATGAGTGATCCATCACTACCTACGAAGCAGCTTGTCTCTATCGAGCTGTACCTTGTACTGGAAAGACACTCTGAAGGTACACACGTATAATATTGTAGAGTTATCGCCACACAAAGTAAAGTGGATACAGTTAGTATGCATTCTGAGCATTGTATGAAGCTATAACAGTAATGTCCGCTGCCTGCTCCCTGGGTCGTGAGACAGTTGGGGAATGCATACACAAATCCCTACTCACCCTGTCGGCCACTATTCACGCAATTTGTCCATGCAAAACCTGATAGAATTGACCAAAGTTTCCCTTGCCGTCCTTGCCACCATCTGGCCCGTTTACATTGTCCATGACGGCAAACACGACCTTCTCCCACCACCCTCCTTGGAATTCTGGCTCTCGGAAAACCTCAAGAAAGCAATTTGCAACGTCTCGTGGCGGATTGGCGAATACACCGCAGCCCAGTGCGCCCAACACGAGCTTTCTGTGTCCATGTCGAGCAGCAACGCGCAGTATGAGGCGAATGTTCTTCTTGGTATGAGACCTTACGCCAGGGCTTTTAAACGCTGTGCCGTCGTTTGATAATTCCGGTTGACGAAGTGCTGCTACGCTGATGACGGAAACTGCGGGGAGGTCAGGCGGACAAGTGTTACTGTGTAACTTGTGGCCTCTTGACATGGATTCGCGGATTATGACCACGTTTGGTGAGTATATGGCAGAGAGAGGGGGTATTGGGTAAAGTTTTCGGTCGAGCGAGAGGTAGAGCGAAGAGCGGTAGCACAGACATTCCTCCTGAGCGAGGGCGCCCTTCTGCCAGCCGCCTCCGGGTGAACGCTCGGAAGCAAGGTTAAGGACTGCCACTGGGGTCACCTTCTCAGTACTGGTATCCGACCTTTTCTTGGTAACATGCTGGTTGACGGTGTGAGAGGGGTCTAGCTGGATTGCCGCATCGAATGAATCCATATCGAGTACTTGAATAGTACACGGCGTCGCTAAAGCTGGGCATAAGTTCGCCGGGAGAGGAGCTGAATCTCGATGATTCAGATCTTCGAGACAAGACCATTCAACATCAAACTCTGGTGGAAGCTGAGCCCGGACATTCGGGAGTGCTTCTTTGGTCTCGTCGGCAACTAGTTTGAGACTCATGTTGCGGCGGCGGTCAGGAAGTCGCTTTTGGTTAGACGAGTGATGTTTGTGGGCGTTGGTGTTATTGCGGCGGTAAGGTTGATCTCGATGAGAATGTTGTGATCGAGACGACTCTGGTCGTGCCGAACCTGGCTTTTCAAAGAAATCGAGGATGGATCTTTGTTCCATGATTGCTAGAAGGGAAAAGGTAGGTGATAAGGAGCGCTTTCAATGTCGTCGAAGCAGGAAGCCACAATGAGCGAGTGTTTTTCGTGGATCCCCAGGGTACTTGTAAATGAATACTGTGTGCGTTGTGGGTTCTGCTGTATAGAGCTGCGTGAGGATGCATAGGCCGAGGGATCAGGAACTTTTGATTAGAGTCTTGTGACGCATGTATTGTGTACAGAAATGCCTGATGACATGGAGAGATGTATCAGGAATGAAGAAGGCGCATAAAGATTGATGTAAGCAAAGACTCATACAGCCATATCAGGCAGCAGCAGGCAAGGAAGGTGCTATGTAAACTCGGAGCTAGTGCCTCTGAGGCATGCATGCGAAGATTGAATCGCGGCCGCTAGGTCCATAAATGGCTCGCAGTGTTGGACGTGCATATGGACATGACAGCAAGAGCCGGCCCGCATATATCATGTGCCTTACAGTGGTTCCAGCAAGGGTCTCTTTCAGCCCTACAGTGGGCCTGTGCGTCTGCCCCACATTCGCGTAACCAACAGCCATCATGTGGGATTTGGGTGCTCTTTCACTCACAACAACAATACTCCTGTCACCTTCACCAACATACTTCAGCGGTATTCCTCATGTAATTCTGGCACTCTATCATCGGCGAAATGCCTACGCACCTGGCGCATCCATCTCCGAAGCGCAAGCGCGATCAACCCGCGCCTATTCCTCTGCTCAACACGGCTCTGGCCCTGCGTCCCGCGTCAACACCGCCACGAGGTAGTCCCGCGCCTTCTTCGGGCGCTGATAGCCCTCGAAATGCAGTCGCAGACACGCTGCGAGGCATGACCCTCACTGCGCTCTCGGCAATACCCATGTCCCCGCTCACACCTACCGACGATGTAATACGCAAGAAGCCGAAGCTCGATGCTATGAGAGCAGACATCGGAACTGGCTCAGAAACATATGCAGCCAGCGAAACACCCAACAGCTATACAAATAGGAAGCATATGGATACTATTGCTACGACACCCGAGATGAACGTCTCTGGGGTGATACCAGAGACCCCTCAGTCGTCGCAACCCCGCTTGATGCCAGATATCGCTTCTTTCGCGCAAACCACCAGCTTTGTTTCGTCGCCCACAACAACTAAATCGCAGCCGTCTATATCCACACACGAAAAGCTTCGCGCGCAAAATCCATCGTCTTCGCAACCCCGCCCTCGGGCTAGATCACCGTCACCGCCAGTGTCGACCCTCACGTGGCGAGATAGTGAGATCACGGGACACCTGGTCGATCCGTCAACTGATCCAGATGACGATGGTACTGGGCTCAATGGGATTGGCTTTAGACCCACACCAGCATTAGCATATGCTAGATCGCAGAAGCGACGACAACAGTTGACAGAGTGGAAGCTACGGGAGACTCGCGAGGCGAGAGCAAAACGTAGCGAGAGGCGTCAGAGAGGCGTCAGAGATATGCCTTCAAGGGAAGTCACCGTCGAACGGGAAGTCATGCCCGTTACTAAGATTGAGACCACGAAGCGGACAGTCAAGTTCGCTATATGAAATGTCGAGGAGTTAATCGTAATTTCCAGAGAAGTATAATCAGATGGGTAAGCTCCAGTAGGGACGATGACGATTTCATGATATTTATGATACGGGTGATGTTGGATCAGCAGCATCCTTGGAGTTTGGCGCAAAAGGGTGTTTATCTTTTCACGATATATTTAGCATATACGATCATGGCGCCTTCTGCTGAAGTTACAATTGTTACAGATTCATGCTCAAACATGCTTTGCCGTCTTGTCGAATGAATTGGTCGCGTCTTGAGCCTTCGGATACTGGGCGGACTTAACACCCTAGTGACCGGATTCAAGCACGTGAAAGTGCGCACCCCAGCACGCGTCTATGAATTCCTACTTATCGCTTGCGCCTCAGTGAGAGTGGATTGTTGAATTCTTAAAGCAGATCTGAACATATACAGTGCGGTATCCATGCTGCTGTGCTGCACGAGTGCATCATCTCCAAATGCTTGTTTGTACCTAGGTAACTGGCGCTGGTTGATCCATGCTCCCGGGGCTGTCTTCGTCATCACCGCACTCTTACGTGAGACCTTCTTCCTACTATACCACCATGACTTAAGAAGTCACCTGAAGCTAGCAACGCTTCTTCATCTTCAATTCTCACCCATACCACATAAAGAGACGATACCGTTCAGTCAACCGAGCGCCATGATGGTGCAATGGTTGCGCCTTGCCTCGCTGCTACCTTGCGCGCTAGCTCTCAGAGCCAGTGAACCGCTTCATCACGCAAGACAGGTCGCTATCATAGGTAAGAGCACATTTTTAAAAGATGGTTATGCTGGTACTGAGTGCCAGCAGGTGCAGGTGCAGGTGGCTCATCCGCTGCGTACCATCTCGCCCAGTATGCCGGCGAGGCAGGCATTTCGACAAACATCACCGTCTTCGAACGTAACGATTACATTGGTGGTCGCACAACGACCGTAAACCCATGGAACGACCCAACAATTTCAGTGGAGTTGGGCGGCTCCATCTTCGTACAAAGCAATCGCATAATGGTGAAAGCCATGGAGGAGTTCAATCTATCGGCTGCCGGGCACGATCTCGCAGCCCAAATGGACATGCCTGATCTGGGCATCTGGAATGGACATGAATTTGTTATCGTGACAAAGGCCGGAGACACTTGGTGGGACAAGGCGAAGCTGCTATGGAGATACGGTGCTGCGCCACTTTGGACAAACAGGCTGATGAAGAGTGCTGTGGGCAGATTCTTCCAGATGTATGATGAGCCAGTGTTTCCGTGGAAGAGCTTGGGCGACGCTGTCGAGCGAGTGGGGTTATTGGAAGCCACTGGAGTGACGGGAGAACAGTATCTCAAAGCAAACGGCATCGGCGAGGCGTTCTCGAAGGAGATCATCCAAGCTAGCACTCGTGTTAACTACGCTTCGAATCTGCCCTACATTCATGGCTTGGAGACGATGGTATGCATGGCAACAAATGGAGCAATGCAGATCGAGGGAGGCAATTGGCAGATCTTCGCGCACATGTTGAAGGCCTCTCGCGCCAATGTTCATCTCAACACCTCTATCGCCAGAATCTCCAAGCAACAGGATGGCAGCTACGAAGTCGCTACAGCTGCCGGTCAGACCTCCGTATTCGACGAAGTTGTCCTCGCAGCACCTCTTCAGTACTCAGATCTTGATATCCATCCTGCGCCACACCACGTCCCTGATGAGATACCTTATACGAAGTTGTATACCACTCTTTTTGCGTCACCTTTCAGCCTGGATCAGAAAGCATTCAATCTGGATGCAAAGACACCTGTGCCACAATACGTCCTTACTACGTTACCGCCAGCTGAGATCCCAGTGGATGGCGCCGGCTCGCCCAGCTTCTACAGTATATCTGTATCCGATGCTGGCCTCAACCCAGAGTCGTCTCCGATTCGATTTGAATACATCTACAAGATCTTCTCACCCTTCCGTGTCAACGCCACATTCATCTCCCACATCCTTGGCCAAGATGTCTTCCCCGAAGAAGCCGAACACGGTAATGTTAACGGAACCGTGAGCTGGATTCATCACAAGCTTTGGTACTCGTACCCAAGAGAATACCCGCGTGTGACATTTGAGGAGATCAAGCTCGACGATGGCCTGTGGTATACTAGTGGTATTGAGAGCTTTATCAGCACTATGGAGACAAGTGCATTGAGCGGGAAAAATGTTGCTAGATTGATCAAAGATGAATGGGTTGCTCAGGGACTTGATGACAGTTATTCGAAAGCTTGGAAAGATGGCGCCGACGATGAGCAGTATCAACAAGAGCTATAAAGGTCGCGCTTTACCAATGCCAACGCAAGCCACGATGTTTTAAACTCTAAAGAAGTGCATGAGAACTGCTACGCCAGAAATGGCACCATTACTGATAGAGTAGCCACTTCGGCGAGGTAGCAGCACAGACCCTACGTTTCAGGCATATTGTTTGTCCAGCCAGGTCTTCGGACGCGCGACATTGGTCGCTAGCACCAAATCTGGCGAGGCTGCACTTCTGCTAGTCATGCTCGACATGTCTGGTGCCTTGAATTGACACTGTCAGCTATCTTCCTGACTATCTCAGACCAATCGGCTCGGGTACCGCTGCGTGAAATCTGGAACGCTAGATGATCTGAGATCTACGACAGCCACGCGAGATAGCCGACGATCCGACGTTTTCCTTTAGCACCAGCTAGAGGGCTAGTCGTGCGTTGACCTTGTTGGCGTATTCTTCGTTTTGTATGAATGATTGTATGAAGTCTTGTTGCTATCTGATGACTTAATTGTCAACATCTATGTCAGTTTCTGCTTGCCCCTCTTCATTCCTATCTAATGATGATCATGAGCCCACTAATTAGCCACATGCTACAAGAATAAAATCGCATCAAGATCTTGAGAAAGGCGCATGAACGAAGCTAATCAACCATCCGCTGAACTGGTCGTCTGGCCTGTGTGTGGCGCTCCCATAGGGCCTTGGGTTCACCCCCAACGGAACCACGACGATCCCCCGGGCGTCCTTCCGCCATTAACATTAAACTTCCGAAATTTGCACTAATCACCACGCAGACGAAGTCCCTTCAACCTTAATAGAAGGAGCGGCGTGGCTAGCCAGGGCTGTCAGTGTACAAGATTCGATGGCGCACATTCGAGCCTTGTCCTGCTTGAGTGCGGCTCCGTTAAAGAGTCAATTGTACATGGGCTTCCTATTTCTCCCTGTTGTACCCTGGGCTGAGGCTCGTGAACTGGCTCGTGTACTTTCATTCCCGTTTCGTCGTTATCATACGATTTCTTACTTGCCTGCCTGTTTGCGCCATATCGGATTATTGTGACTTGCAATACCTTGATCGACTGTGAGGTGAAGATACAACACAACATTGGGATCATGGTAGCACAAGACTATGTACCTGCGCTGATACCGCGGGCTGGAGAAATTATTAGCATCATGTTACAGATCAGCACATTTGGTGTACTCTCCGTTTGCATAAGTAAGTCGTAGCTTGTCGATGCTGCTGAGAAGAAACAGAAGTTCTAACAGCGTGTAACAGTGCGACGAACACAGTTTATCCAGAAATGGGCTGCACTTCCTTTGGCGATGTGGTGTAAGTGCAACACGGTGCATGCTTACGAGCATCCTGGGAAAGTATATGACGCTGACAGCCTAAAACAGTAATTCTCGTCATTTATTGCGACTCGGCGTTATTCGTATTTGCAACTGCGATTGTGGTTCACGGCTTTGGTATCAACTCCTCGCCTCAAGTGTGCGAAGGGGGGATCTTACTATGTAAGTGCACAACAGTGGATACGTGGGAATGCTTAGAATCAAGGCTCACCACTGCACAGGTCTGATATGCTACATGACTACCAAGATTCTCATCTATTACTTCCTTGTTGAGAAAGCATATGTGGTTCGAGGGAGTATGAAACCTCGCATGAAGACGAAGCTATGGCTCTTCAATTGCCTCTTCATGCTGTTACCATACACCGTCTTTGTCATTATGAACTTCATCTTCCGAATCACCTACATCAACGACTCTGGCGTGTGCATAATCGGCATGCAAAAGATCGCTATGCTGCCGTTGATCACGTTCGAGGTTATTGTCAACGTAAGTATTCCCTTCTCCTCAACTGACTCATATCGACACCCAAAACTGATCCAAATTCAGATCTATCTGACCGCCCTCTTCATCATTCCCATCCGGAATCTCTACTCTTACAAGCACAACGCAAACCCTACGCTCCACCGCATGGCCAAGCGCTCGCTCATTGGCTCCCTTGCTACCCTCACCACCTCCGTCATCAACCTGACCATACTCATGGTATTGAAGGGTGAACCAGGTTGGATTTGCCTTATGTGCTGCAATGCCGATATCTTGTTCTGCGTAATAGTCCTACACTGGGTCACATCGAAAGACAAGCAGACAGTGACTACAGACCCGCACAGCGGTTACGGTAACGGCACGATCGGTTCAAGAAGCGGCACAAGATCCGACCAAAGACGGAATAGCAAAATGATCTACGGAGAAGGAACAAACGAAAAGAAGACCGAGATCATAACTATCAAAGGAGTATCTGAGAATTCTCAAAACTCCAACAGCATCAACAGCACCAAGGCTTCCCGCAACAATAGCGGTAGCAGCTCCCGTAGACCTAGTCTCAACGTGTTCCCTACCGTCATGTCTAGCAACCCACATCATCGCCCTCAGACCTCACCGCGGCTCATGCATTCTGGTGTCACAACGGAATGCAAATCTTCGTCTCCTACGCAAAGCAGGCTTCGTGCCCCGAGCCGCGGTCTGTACCGCACGCCTACGCGAGAAGAGTTTGGCGATGAGGTTGAGCTGAACAACATCAGAGTTGAGACTATTCACACAAGAGAAGTGGAGATTGAAGATGACCGGAGAGAGCGGACGGAGAGTGTGAGGAGTGATGGGGAGGAGTGGGTTGGGCATGAACGGAGGGTTGTTGGGGAGGGAGTTGTTTGATCTTGACGAGTAATGTTTGTACAGCATGGCCTTTTCAGGTTTGTTGATGCGTTTTATACCTCTCATTTAGCATTTTCGGGTCAGGGTACCAAAACTAGATATGCGTATACCAAAGTCAGAAGACATCACATTCACGCCGTTTTCTATTCAACAGGCTGCTGATAGAAAGCGTGAAAAGCTGAAGGTATGAGTCTTTCCATTGTGTAACACGACAACTTAGAATGAGAAGGACCTCGTTCTTAGCGAGTTGTACCCAGCACTCGAAATGTACCTTAAGGATATCAATATCTTGTGTCTTCTGCTATATTAGCAACAAACACAGGTTGTACAATGTCGCTCAAGAATGCAATCCCCATGACGTTCCAACCTGGATCCTTATTTCTTTGCAGCTGGCTTCTCAGGTGTAGATGCAGGCGCTTTGGCGGGTGGTGACTTGGTGGCATCGGTCGGTTTTCCTGGCGGCTTGCCTTGGCTGCTGATGAGATCTAGAAAATGGTCCTCCGTCTGCTTGCCCTGTAAAAGAGTCAGCAACAAGCTAGTCGCGATATGACTTGGTGCGCTCTTGCTCGCCCACGCACCTTTTCAGCATCAGTTTCAGCATCCCATCCTCGGCCAAACTTTGTTCTGAAAGAGGCCAATCTTCCAGCCTCGTCCTCCTCGACGTTGAGTAGTTTCTGTGAACTCGGATTCCATAGTGGCGAGTTCCGTATATCCTTTGCGCTCTTGTATACTGGCTGTGGATTCGTGGTTCGTAGGGTAAATGAGCTGCCGTCGGAGAGGGTTATAAGTTGGGTGAAGGTGTAGGGTCGCTTTGGCCGGCGGAGAAGCGTCGCATGTCGTACTTGAGTCGTCTGCTGTACCTGAGGCTGTATCGATTGTCGGAGGACGCGCAGTGCGCTCATCGAGGGGACTGGAGACGCCATGGTTGTGTGTGCTGGGCGGGCGTTGAAGACGGGCAGGAAAGTTGCGGAGAAGAGGCGGAGGTTAGCCTTGGCCGATCTAACATTTCCACCACAATGCGCCCGCTCCGTCATTCCCAGCACATTGCTCTCCCACAGTCGTGTCTTGTCCAACGGCACTGTCCTGTTCGTCTCTGGCCTAGGTAACAAATGTGCAACTTCTTGCTGTGAACATGGCGCTGTCACAGCGTCCGGCTTCGCGCTTCTTCGCCGCCTTCTACAGATGGAATCAACATGCCCGTTAGTTTTCCACACGGCATTACTACATGCATGCTAATTTTCTTCTTAGAACTTTCAAGGCCATGCGCCTCGGTCTATCGATACACTCTCCGCCACACACGTTCCCGCAACGCCATCTGTGCCCCACGATACTATAATGCGACTCGTCTGTTGCAACAAGACAACACAGCAAGCACGCAGAAAACTGTACAAGAGCAGTATGCCCCAATTGACTTGTCCGAGTCGGAGTCGCAGCAAGAGCAACTCAAAAATTCGGTGCGTGGTTTGATGCGTGATGTTCCGAGCTCCGTCGCAGTTCTTACCGTTGCGAGTATCGATCCAAAGACCAAGAAACACGTCCCTATGGGTGTTGCTGTTTCTTCACTCAGCACTGTCAGCCTGGATCCGCCTACTATCTCCTTCAATATCAAACAGCCCTCCAAAACCTTGGATGCCATACGGGCGACTGACGGCCTCTTCCGCGTTCATTTCCCCACTGCATCTAGAAGCGGCGCGAAGCTTGTGGATCTGTTCTCCCGAGGGAACCATCCAGATGCTTACGATCTGCGATCCAAGCAGCTCAAACTCCATCAACCCAAAAACAAAATACAATATAGTGTTCCGTCGTCTCTCGCACCGCAGGTCCTGGGAGGGTATGTACGGGCTGCAATGGAGTGTGAAGTTACGCACGAGTTTCCCGTCGCAGACCATGTTATCCTGGTCGCAAAGGTTAATGACCTAGAGCAGAAGACTGCGAAGGGTCCCGCAATCATGTACATTAACGGGGAATACCGGATCCCAGAAGGCAAGAGTGTCTACGTCGCCGAAAACGCTCAACCTTCCGCAGCTAGCGCAGATATTGCGTCAGTGCGGGAATATCCATTGTTCCCAGGAGAGAAAGAAAGACGTCATTACATGGAACAAATCAAGGCCATCATCAGAAGCACTCCCGCTTACTACAAGGATCCATCTAGAGAGACCTACGAGACCATCAACATTAACTTACCATACCCTGCTGCAGATTTCGGGATTGATCTAGAGCTTCTAACCGCAGAGTGCCGGCAAGAAATGGGTCTCGGAAGTCCACTGAGGCCTGGAGCTGAGGATAAGCAGGTCTTGAGTGAATTCTACGGGGTGCTAACGCCGTCAATGAGGGATCGAATCGTTGACCGGGCAAAGAAATTGGTAGCACTGGATGAGCGATACCTATCTCAACCATATCGATCGTTCTTGTTCGACTTGGGCGTCAATCCCAACAGCAAAGACTTCCTACCAAGCGACATTATGAAGCATTTACGAGCAGCAAACCTTGCACGGCGCTTCAAACAGGATCGAAAACAAGTGATTGGTGAAACAGAAGACATTATAAAAGTTGAACAGATTGAACACCGTCTGCGAGAGCACCTTCGATCAATGAAGTACGAGGACGCACGGAGGGAACCATTTGAAGTGGCTATGGAAGCTATTGGCGAACGAAAGGGGGCGGCCATGCATTTCAAGAAAGCACGGGCACGGTTACTTACCCAGAGCCACCCTACGCTTTTCGATGCTTCAGCCATAGACATCACTGGAGAAGTGACAGAAGAAGAACTTCGTGTGGTCTTGTGCCGCCTTATCAACTACCTAAACGTCAAGTCTCAAATACACTTTCGACAAAACATCGAACGCAACCCGCGTGAGTTGTTGCGCCGAGTCCGCGTGGACCCTACTATTACAGGTATGGATGTCGAGCTTCTGGTGGGCAAGATCAAGCATTTGTACCTCTCGACAAGAACATATCAGGACTTTCTTTTCGCGCTTAAGGAAGCACTGCGACCTTGGTTTATTTGGAACGTGAGCCGTGACGATCTGGAAGAGCGAGTCAAGAATTTCGTCCAGAGTACTCCACTGAGGGCTATAGCTTGGTCAGCAAAGAGTAGGCTTGCTGCTATGGGTCTGCACTGGGACGCTACGGTTACGCTACCAAGCAACAATTCATCCAAGCAGGTGACTAAACAATCGCTTCTTAAAGGCGTGATTCTGGACACTCTTGTAACAAAGGAGCTAAAGAATTACTATGGTAGTGGCACTGAGGAAGAGAATCAGGCTGTCGCCAAGTATCTAAAGGAGACGTACAGCTTTGACGTCACACCCGCAGCCTCCGACTCTCAATCCTCAGCTGATGAGATGCAACAAGTTATGGCGACAACTCTAGAAACTTCTCCGGGAGAAGGAGACCGGAGTTTGGAAATCATGCGATTGCCCGGCAAGAGTAAGCGCATCGAACACGGAGATAACAAGAAGCAAGGAAGGAAGGAAGCTTGGAGCACAGATTCCTTTCACTAGAGGAAGGGATTCGTAATGTGATTATAAGCTCCGATTGTATGGTCGATTTGTATACGATACCCAATGTACGCGATTTGCATGGAACCGGGAAACTATGGAGAATGGGCAATAATGCACTACATCACTCTGTTCAGCCACAGCTAAGCACTAGATTATCGAATTGACCTTGGAACAATACCCAAGTGAATTTCCGCTCACGTGACTTCGGTCGCGGATCAACCTTGGCCCGTGCAGCCTGAAGCTCGATCGCAATTTCCTAGTCGGAGCTTCCCCGCGAGTATACATCGCGCCGCAGCAACGATACCGACTATAATTACCAATCGCAAGATACCGAGGCACACATTTCAAACTCCAATACTCTATACTTCGGATAACAACGACCATGAAGCTCGTCAGGTGAGCTAGTCGTCAACTTTTGTTAGACTAGCAGCTAACGCTTCACGCAGGTTTCTTATGAAGTGTCAGAATGAGACGGTCACAGTCGAGCTCAAGAATGGTAAGCAGCGTATCTCTTTCTTGTCGCTCCTTGGCTTCGATCGCATCGTTGTCTGGCCGAAGTCGCTTCTCCGGCGAGCGCGTCAATCCTTGAGTCGCGCAAGCACGCTTTCGCCTCGATTCGGTGTGCTATCACTTTACAGACGTGTGTTTTAACAGAACGACAGGCACTATTGTAAACGGCACCATCACCTCCGTCTCACCGCTCATGAACGTCGCGCTCCGAGCAGTCAAGTACACGCCCAAGTCTCGCGACACCGTAGCTCTCGATACAATGACCGTCCGCGGTTCCACAATTCGCTACATCATCCTTCCCGACTCATTACCGCTCGACACACTTCTCATCGACGATGCGCCAAAGCCTAAGAATAAGGCGAGGAAGGAGGTCGGTGGTGGTGACCGTGGTGGAAGGGGTGGTGGCCGCGGAGGCGGTCGCGGTCGTGGTGGAGGTGGTCGCGGAAGAGGCGGTGGTGGCAGGGGACGTGGACGAGGTTTCTAGGTGCGGAGAATGACGACAGAGATTGAAGGCCAAGAAAACCACCTGCAGATGCGCATTACAACATCACAAAATGACTTGGAGTTGTGCCATGGATTTGGGGAAATTGAGATTATGGGTTGCCGCGCACCAAAGACACCAAATTTTGACGCGCAATAGGATCACTATCCGATCAACTACACGAGCAGAGATAACCAAGATGCGCGGCGTCAGACACAAGGATTGGTGCAAAAGCTGCGCCTCGAGAGAAGAATGATACCACATTGAAACGCAATCATCCCGCAGGTTTTGCATACTTTCTGACTTGTTCTTTATGTACACATTCACTGGCTACTTACAAAGCTAGATACGTGCAAACCGTCTTCAACAAGCGACTACTCCGCATCGTAAGGCGCAACCGGCGGCGTGTCGTTGACCTGAATTCCACCCCTCTTCTTCTCCCTACTGTCGTGGAAAGGCAACTTCCATCCGCCCTCGCCCTCGGGTGTGCTCAGCCATAATCTCATCAAATGCCTCCTCGGTGCTGGCGGCGCATAGTCCTTGTACGCTGTCCTGGCATGGAATACATGGTTGTTGGAAAGGAACTGGATATCGCCTACATCGAGAATCATGTGCAACGCAAGCTTCTGGCATGTCTCTTCAAGGATAGTAATGGCGCGTTCTTGTGCTTCGGAAAGAGGCGGGATTTGACCCGCGTCCGAGAAACGGGTCAGAGAACGGACAAAGTAGGGATCGAATCTATTTTTGCTCGTGTCAGCTTGCGGCTCTGAAGAGTTGCGAATTGTCTGGTTGCTTTGCTTACTTGCTGTAGACTCTTGGGTTGTCGCCCGTCTCGAGATAGTACACGGCGGTTTTGATCCATTCCTTCTGTCCTACACTTGTCTCGCCCTTGCGGTCGAAGTACCAGATGGGCTGGGTGAGTAATTCAGCGACATCTGGGTGATTCTTTTGAAGCTCGTTCCATACTGAGTGGCTGCTAACCTGTGCAAGAGATTGTAGTTAGCAAAATGCGTACCAGACCAGTGACGGGTAATGTCAACTTACAAGATCAGACTCCCCTCCTTCCAACGCCTTGGCCACACACAACAAGCCCACGAGATCCGAATCATCGGCATGGAAATATTGCCTCGCGTTCGTCCGGTAAATCCTCACTTTATCAATTGCAGTCGCGTCCTCGCCCAAATCCTTGACATGCCCAAGCACATGGCCCCGACTATTCTGGCTGACAAAGTAGCCCAAATATGTGCCCAGACCCATATATGCGACCGCGGATTTCTGGTTCCCCCATTGCTCAACAGGCATACCTTTGAAGAGGATGAATCCCTTCCCGTCGATCAACTCCTTCCTTAGCGGCTCTAAGAACTTGGAAAAGTTGGGTAATGGGAATAGGTCTTTTGTGATGCCTGTCAAAGGTGTTCCGGAGGCGATGAAGTTATCTGCTGCTTCGCTCATCTCGCGTACTTCGTCGGACGAGAAAATGTGCGTCCAGCGTTCGGGGTTGGACTCGTAGTCTGTTTTGTCCCATGCTGTTGAACCAGTGATTTCTTTGGGAAACTTGGAGTAAGGGTGTAGTAAAGAGTAGACTGGCTCATGTTGACCTGAGGTCTTGATGCCGTCTGGAAAGATGGCTTTGGGTGCCTTTGTGGTTGTGGTAGAGAGCGTGTGCGGCGCAGCGGGTGTGGGAGATGTAAGTGCCGGCGCCATTCTGGGGACGTAAATAGGCCAATTGAGTGGGAGAAGCTTGTTCTGGAGGGTTACAATACGATTGGAGTGAATTTGATTATGCGTATCTCCTTAGTTCTTCAGCTGAAGCGTTGTAGACACAATCACACGAAAGCCGTTGAGAGAATGCAAACGCAATGACGATTTATCTATATATACGCATATCTACCGAATCCTTGTCCTCCGAGACCTCTTCTACCCCTCTGCCCCTCATCTCCTTATTCTGTTGCTATCGCATCATATCTCAATCCATGTTGTTGTTTGCGATATTTAGCCCGAAATGGCGTGCTCGCACGGCACCCAGAACCAAGTTGACGCAAGCCCCGCTCTTGCCTACCTTGTCCACGACGTAACCAAGTTCTTGGCTCTTGTGTCCAGATCGCTGTCATCACTGTCAATCTTGACGGGCACGGGTAGGACTTTTGGGAACTGATAAGATCGCTACATGTATTTGGTCGGTACATGGACGTCGGGATAAACAAGACGCGAGGTGAACAAATGAACGACCTTCACCCCACTTAGTCGCTGCAGACGCCGCTAAATGCTACATGGCATAGAAAGCCCAGAAACTCAATATCAAAACCCATGCCCATCCGAAGAAAGACCGCAGACGCCGCCCGACCCAATTCCGCACTGATATGCGACACTAGAACGCCGAACAGATCGACCGCTGTCATGCAGCAAGTGTACGTGCTCTTCGAACTTAAAAACTCTCCAAACACTCTTCAACAACAGCTTCCAGCATACCTAATGTGTAGAATCTTGCGACATTACCATACACACTGATCTTCCTCTTCATATCCTGCTTGTTTTTCGTAGCTACCCATTCGCCTGCGCAAGCACAATGTTCCATAAACTCATTACTGCGTAGCCGCTTGCACTTGCCGCATTTGAGATCCTGCGTACACCACTCGAGTACCATCTTTTGGACTTCGCCGACGAGTTGTTCTTCGATGCGCCGCTTGTCGTAGGTTGAGTCGCAGTTGTCGCATTTCCATTTGGGAAGGACTGGGGCAGCAACGCTGTCGGGTAGAATGACTGGGAGAAGAGAAGAGTCGCGGCAGAGATCCAGATCGCGTGAGGATGTACAGTCTTCACAAATGACACCCCTGACGACAAGGGCAGCACTGGGATTGACGAATGTTGCCTCTGCGCTGAACTCGCGAATATCGAAGAGATTTAGCAACTCCTTTCTCAATGCTCGCGCTTCAAGAGAAATGGCACGGTCTAGACTCAAAACTTGCATGATGCTCTTCACAAGTTGCAAGACCGGATTCGTAAGCTTGAGATGCGAGCCAGGAAGTTCAGGGAAGATATAATCGGGCGCGAAAAGAGGATCCAAAACTTCTGCGTGTTGCTTCTTAGCGAAGGCGTTCATCTGTTTAGAGAGAGGCCTGGTAAATTGCTTGGGGAGAATCTGCGTTTGTTCGTTCGGATCCACAGTAAGTGGCCGAAGCGGGATCTGCGTGACTCTAGGCGTCGAGCCATCTTCCGTGATACCAGGGCGTTTTCGTGCGTGCATAAGCTCGATGAACTCGACGACCCAGTCTTCGAAGGTAGGCTGAAACTTCGGTGGCAAGAATTGTGCGAGCTGCCAGCACATGATGTTTTCGACCGGCTGCGTCTCATCCTCACTCACTTCGCTGCAACCTTTACCGCCATAGTTAAATTCGTCATACCAAACCAGGTAGTCCCAATATTCCTTGATCTCAAGCTCCATAAACTGGAACAGAGGTTTCGATTTGATGGTCTTGATGATGTATTGGCTGTATGCGTACGCATTCCCTACTTCGGCTTTGGTCGTCTGGAGGAGCAGGCGGTTTGGACTAGCGAACACAATGTGCGAGCCGACGCGCTTGAAATCCGTCATGAGTTGCTGTAGTGTCTTCTTCGACATCATTTGTACGTAGTAGTGCAGAGAGCGGTCGTAGAGGAAAGATCCCGGACTACTGACCCAGCGGACGAGATGCTGAACCATGACATCGGCCATACTAAAGCCGTGGCCAGCGTTAACAGCTTCGACCCACCATGCTTTCACCATTTCACGGAGTACCGTGATACCGGCACTGGCAAAAGCGTTGTCTGAGTAGATAATGTTGGATCCATCATTCGTCGAGTCGTAAGACGGGGCCGCAGGGTTGAAGGAAACAGAGTCTGAGCCTTCAAGTTCGTTGATCAAGGAAGATGACAGGATAGTGTTGATAGCGAGATTGCGAAGATTGATGTCAATGCACACTGACGAGTACGTGCCTGGGTTGTTGATCGATGGCATGTCTACTGTCTCCAA